TCGTAGCCCCGCAATGGTCGTTTCTGGCCGAGAGAGCTCTGATCCAAACCAAACCAACCCGAGCGCCTGCGTCAGTTGACGGTCCGCTCGGTGTAAGGCTGCTATATCCATCGTTGCTGAAGCTTTGCGGCATATTTTCGCCAGCTAATACTTTGCACAACCTGCTTGCCCTAAATATACGAGAAGTGTCTTCCTGTGACGTGCCAAAACCTGCCCCCTTCTCGCACACGCCGTGGCCGACACGTGAGTCGGATGTGTGCGTATTTCGGTGGTGGATGGCGTCAAACCCGTTGCATGCAAATAAGTCAAACCCGTTGCATGCACAAATTTCACGGCGATTCGAGCGGCCGTCAGCGCTATGCGTCCAGTGAAAAATGTGGACAGATAGCCAGCCAGCTAGATAAACAGACAGACAAACGGAGAGACGGAGATAATGATAGACAGGCAGACATACATACGGACAGACAGACAAACGCACAGACAGACAGACAGGCAGACAGACAGACAGACAGACAGACAGATAGAAAACGTTCGCTCGAAAATTAGTGAATATATTTTATTTGATAAACTTGACGTGGACTTTGATTTTATGCATTCAAATCAAAACCGCTTATTCCTGTTCTGAAAAAGTGTTGTAAGCTAAATCCGATGGCATAAGCTTTCGGGGACAATTTGCACAGTGTGTAAGGTACAGGGACGGGTTAGAATTGACCAGGCGGTGAAATATCACGCCGATGGGATCGAAGCTGAGGAGGACAATACGCAGGCAGATACCGCCGAATGCAAGAGACTCTTCTAGCCATAATTTCAGCATTTATTGCAAAAGCTCCTCAGTATATCATTGTTTAACCATAGAACGCTTGTGTGACGTCGGAGTCGCTGCCAGATACCTGTGTCGGAATTACCGCTGTAGCAGACGAGCCGACCCACTCGTAGTACTTCATCCTGCCGAGAGATGACGCGCGTATTGGCGCGTGTTTGCGGAACCCTGGTATCGCATGTTTGTGTGTTTTATCCCTTTATCATGGCCTTCCTGTATATTTGTTCATGACGTTATATTGTTTACTTGTGTTCGCGCACTCGTTTATAGCACTATTTTTAACTTATTCCACCATTAGCCTTACTTCCATCATAGCTCGTACCAGTCCCCAACCTCCCGTATTACGTAGAACAACACGTGATTCGTGTTCAAAACTTGCATTGAACGCATTACATTGATTGCGAGACAGTTGAAGTCTGTTGGTGTCAGAAATCGTGCTGACGCACTTCAGGACACGAATAACTCGATGATCATATTTGTCTTCGTCTTGAGCACCACATGGCCAGTGAGGTGGCAATACTTGCGTGCCTTTCTATGGCGTCATGCATGGAGGCCATCCTGGAATAGTCTGCATGAAATAGTCTAGACAAGTTCGCGAGCGTCCAGCACAGAAGCCAAAGGGTTTGAAATCTCAAAGGGGGGGGGGGGGGGGCTAAGCGCTGCGCTGAATGATCTTGAAAATGGCTATCTCAGTTCAAAACCCTATACAAATGTGGAACACTCCTTTCAGGGCCACACACGGGTCTACGTTGACCCACACCCGGCCAGGGGCTTCTGAGACAACCGCGCCAGGCCGGAGGGGGAAAGTTGACTTCCCCCGGGATCTCCAACGTTCAAAGACCGTATGAGAAGAAAACAGAGATGCCGTTTTGAAGTTCTCGTCAAATCTTGAAGAATTCACACCAAGTTTTGACCTTAGGTCAAATGTGAGGTCACCAGAGGTCACGGAATTTCAAAAACGGTCGTTTCGGTAGATACAGTTAAAACTTATGTTAGAATGTTAAGACGGGTATTGAGGGCACAGAAATAAGCGTTGAGATTGTGCGGAGTCCATTCCGAATACTTCTGTTTCCCCATATAGATCAGGTCAGATCAGGTTACCGTTCAAAATTGCTGTACAAGGAGCTCACAGGAACGATACTTTTGTTTACAGTGTTCTTATGGCTTAGCTCATCAGCTGTTGAACAAAAACATTCCAGACACAAATAACTGCCATTTTAGGGTGACCTGGTGGGCGTCTGATGTCAACTTAAGTCAAATTTATAAGCCATTTAAATGAAAAATTTGAAGTGCCTTTCGGGTCTATGTGACCAGTACAGTGCTTTTCTGTGGTCAGAAAGTGTTTTGTACATCTACAGGTCCCCAAGAACACACAGCTGTTGTCCACTAGACGTCATCATCTTTACAAACACGATAAGGAGGTGGTTACGCGCGTCGCGCTCGTTCATCTAGCCTCTCCGCTTCTGGCAACATAGTTCGTTGACCTCGGATGACCTCATATGGCCTCGCACGTTTTCACATGACCTGTTGTAACCTCATTTTACACTAGGATGATATCACAACATATATTCATTGGAGTACTTGAATTCAGCGCGCAAAATTACCCGTCAACCTACTTATTTTGAGCTCGGCATGTGTTTTGCGGAAGGTAGCCATAGAAATGAACCATGATCTAGGCCAAGATCATGTGCGCTGGGGTCATATGATGGTTGTGCATGCAAGTAAGTGCTCTTTTTCTGATATACAAACACCAAAACTACACATTTACAAAAATAGCAAAAACTGACCTGACTTCAGCTAACTGACCTTGGGTTTTCCGAAAAATCTGAAGCACACAAACTGTGCGCTACGCAATGCTCCATTTTCATAACAGGTTTGAACGATGTAAAATGACCCGCAAAAAAGTTATGAGGTCAAAGATTTTAGAGATTGACCTCTTTGACGTGACCCAGGTCGCTGCTCTTGGTCGATCAAAATTTCAACTTCGCTCAAAAGATGCCAAATTGTTAGATGAACAGGTACTGAAAATTTGTGTTGCTGCGAGCGTGCGTTTTTGACCTGTGCTCGAAAAACCGTGTTGAGAGTGAACTCCCGCCCACCCCCGGCCGGGCGTGGGTCAAAAAAAGCGAGCGTTGAGCTGTTCAGGTGTGGGATTTTGTGTCACCGCTGCAGGCTAACCACAACCTATAACGGAGCCAATGTCCTGACGCATGGATTCTGTCCCATCTGCCGCCATCCGCCTGCAATTATGGCCACCTGTGTCACGCTGCGTGTGAGTGCGCCGGCCGGCCGGAGGCGCTGCATCAGGTCATGTGTAGGCGCATCGAGCGAAACGGGGTGTGGGCGTCCATGATGGGTGTCAGCATCCGGACAAAATGCTGTCACTTGTCGGTCACAGATGCAGTTCTAAACACCATAGTCCAATCAGCCCTAATAAGATCGAGGTGAAAGAAGGCAAGCCCATGCGGTGCAGAGCGCGGGCAGGACCGACGACCGGCAGCAACGTGAAATATTCTGGGCGCAGAAAATAAAACAGGTACAAACCGATGCGGACTAAAATTATAATGCCGGGTGCCACGGCGGTCGACTACATTGCAACCGTTCACAGCTAAAATGTCTTGTATAAATGCTGATGTCATGTTGGAGATGACGCACTGCAGCAACGATAAATTCAATGCAAATTTACAGCCATGTCTTTCGCAAATCTGCAGTCACTGCGTTACGGTCACTTGACACCACAACTTTCGGAACGCCTCATGTGGCGTGCAGCAGGTAATGACATTCGTCACCTACAAACTCCGGTTGTTTCCGTGCTTAAGCATGGAAAGAGATGGCTACAGCATTTCTTCGATGGACGGCGTGATGATCTATGAGAAAGACACTTCACTTCAAACACGCGAATCAGGTCCATTAGATTTCTGATGATGCGTTTCATACACGTAAGATACATTTGATGACTTTCATGCATCGCTAGATGTATTACAGTGTCGATATTTTTCACGTCGAAGGCTCGTCACCAGATTATTTTTAATTCCGGCACTTGTCTTGCCAATATGTATGCATTTCATTATTTTCTACCGCAACGCTTTCCCTTGACCACTTCAACATTGTTCGATGGTTTCTTTTCGGTCACTTTTGTTCGTTTCTTTCAACTCGAGCACCTGACGATCGATGTGTCCGGTGCGCTCAACAATCAAAATGTCAATCGATGCTTAACGTAGAAGGCGTGGGCTAAAAGCTCGACATTTCAACAGTACCTCTGTTGAAATCTGGAATGGTGGCGGCGGATCTTCTGGAAGTACGCAATGTAAAATCTGGATGGTGGCTGGGTATTTCGTCGGCACGCAGCGCGACATGGCCGTTAGATATCACGGCAGTGCGCTGTGCGAAGAAGCTGCCGGCGGGGCGTTCTGGTAACGCGTGCTGAACGGTGGTTGAACTCAGAATATATTCAGAGTTCACAGTGTGAGGTGGTCGACGGGGAATATTTCGGAAGTAAAGGGTATGGCATGGACAACAACCGGATATTTTGGGCGTTGAAAAGTGGGGAATGCTCGACAGTTGGAAATGTTGGGACCAGGCAATACGGAATGGTCGACAGTTGGATATGTTGGGACCAGGCAATACGGAATGCTCGACAGTTATGTATGTTGGGACCAGGCAATACGGAATGGTCGACAGTGGAACATCTAATCATCAAGCAGCACAATCAATCGACAGCTGGATGTTTCGGCGGTCGGTGGTGCGGAATCGACAGCTGCGTATCTTGGCAGTTCACGGTGCCTGAGCGCCCAGCTGCTGGAGATGTAAACGAGGCGTGGTGCGGCACCACCGCCGGCGGCCGAGGCTGGGCGGTGTCCAGTGCCGGCTGGCTAGCGACAGACGGCCGATAGTTTCGCCGGTGATCCGACAGAATGCGGCAGATACCCGTCCACCAAGGCCATGTGCGCCGCTGCGACGGTGGACCCATCGACCCGCCACGGCGCGACGCCGCTGACGTCATCTGCGCAGGGTCAGCCGACGAGAGGCGCGTCGTTAGAGGCCGTGGCGATTGGCCAACGCCGTGGCGCGACGACGAAGGCCTCCCGCTGATTGGTGGAACCGGGGGGTGTACGCTGCCGACGCAGGTGGTATGTACAACTCTCCCTGGAGCCTCGTCAAGGCTGAATGGCGCGGCGTAGTATTTTTTATCGGGTGCCCCGGCGACCGCGACGGGATCGGCGGCGCACGTCTCCCTCCACGACAGAAGTCTCCGCTGCGGCGTCCCGACCGCAGCGCCGCACGAGCTCGCGCCGCTTGTCGGGTCTCGCCGGCGCCAGAGAGGCAGCCCCGCCCCGCTGGCCGCGGCGTACGTCAGACACCGAGCGACCCGGTGCGGCAGTGGCAGCTGCGAGCCGAAGGCGGCAGCGCACGGCGTGCAGCGCAGCGGAAGGAGGTCACTTGCAGGAGAGATCCGAACGCGCGCACGCATGGTAAGTGGGGCGCCCCGGGACCCGGTGATCGTGGTGCGCTTCGCGCAGTCCCACAATTGGTGTTTGGTCCCACAATTGGTCCTTTTCTGACAATAACTTATCTTAGTTGTTGAAGGCAACTGAAGGCGGTTACTGTTTGCCTTCAAGCACATGGAACGTTTCTATCGTGGAAATATACAGTAACACTTTTCAGTTATTTATGGTTAGAGCTCACCTTGATGATTGAATGCATGCATGCATATACAGGGGCGTTCCGAGTTCCCCCACCTTGCAGTTGAGTTCGACTGTTCAACGTTGGCTTGGTTCCCTTATTTTTGGCGGGAATACTGTAATAATGTAGGCCTAAGTTAACTTTCACATAAAGTCTACGGTGTTTGGATATTTGTGGCTGGGCATGAGTACTATGCTGCTCAAATTTCTAACCATTTGGTCAATAATACTCAAATTAAAATCAAAAGCTGCTGTTCTTTAAAGCAACCCCTCAGACGCACACGTCCAATTTGATATGGACATGAACGGTCATACACTGGTTACAGGTTAAGTACGCTTTATTTGTGATCGATAACGCCATATCGGAATGTGCTGAAATACCCGGAACAATATTCAAGTAACGTAATTGTTTTCAACCATTAGGACCATGTATTTCTGCAAACGCATTCCGAGCGCGTTTCGAACTGCGCTGTAATCATCAAAGGGACAGACATTCTGCATAAATGACGAATAACATTTTTAGGGCAGGTAAAAATACTCCTGCAGCATTTCGCAACGCTACTGCGAAACGTTCTGGGAACTGCCCGATGTAGGTACGTATAGTTTCTTTCGCCACGCAATGCCGGGTTGATATCGGCGATGTTAGGCATAAACGTCCACAGAGGTTGCATGCTGTGAGCAAATTAGCTCGTCTGATAAATCACCCGAGAGCCCGTTTGAGCGTCTGCTTCCGGTCTTTGATGGGGCTTGGAGGCTGCAGGCATGGTTACCCCATCACATGGTCTTGAAGGGCGACAGGTGCGCGATACTTACGTAACCGTCGGCCACGATTGCTGGCCGCTGCGGCGCGCTCGCCGCTCGCCGCTCGCCGCTCGCCGTCGGCTGCGCACGTCCGCCGGCTGCTCCCCAGCACGAGCCGGCCGCCTTTGGCTGGCCGGTCGCCGCTCGCCGTCGGCTGCGCACGTCCGCCGGCCGCTCCCCAGCGCGAGCCGGCCGCCTTTGGCTGGCCGGTCGCCAGGGCCGCGTTTCCCATCGGCAAAGTACCTACCAGAAGTTGCTACCTATGACGTCAGAAGTCGACACTCCGAGCCGTGCGAACTGCTGTGACGTCATAGGTTGCAAGTTGTGGGCGGCTTTTGGCAATGGGTACGGTGGCCCAGGTCGGGTTGCATCGCCACACACCGGGCGGGCTCAGCCGCTCCGAGGGCGGGCCGGCCGCCGGTGCGAGCGGCGTGCGCACGGCCCGCCTCGCGCACGACAACAGTGGCCGTTGAGCTCCGAGGGCCGGACGACCGCGGGCGAGGAACGGCCGGCCGTCCTGCGCGTCACTTGTGACCGCCGCCGACGCCCGGCAGCTGAGGTTGGCCCGCTGCGCACTGACCTGCCGGCGTACGGGGCTGCTGCGCACATCACGCCGGTCGCGTCCGGCGCCGGCGGCGGGCGAGGGACAGCCAGCCGCGGCGCACAAGCGTGCCCCAGCGCCGCGTGGAGAAAGGGAGAGTTGATGGGCGGCGGAGAGAGAGAGAGAGAGAGAGAGAGAGAGAGAGAGAGAGAGAGAGAGAGAGAGAGAGAGAGAGAGAGAGAGAGAGAGAGAGAGAGGGAGAGAGAGAGAGAGATGAGAGAGAGAGAGAGAGAGAGAGGAAGAGAGAGGAGAGAGAGGAGGAGAGGAGAGAAGAGAAGAGAGAGAGTAGAGAGAGAGAGAGAAGAGAGAGAGAGAGAGAAGAGAGAGAGAGGGAGAGAGAAGAGAGAGAGTAGAGAGATAGAGAGAGAGAGAGAGAGGAGAGAGAGAGAGAGAGAGAGAGAGAGGAGAGAGAGAGAGAGAGAGAGAGAGAGAGAGAAGAGAGAGAGGAGAAGAGAGAGAGAGAGAGAGAGAGAGGAGAGAGAGAGAGAGAGAGAGCGTCGAGTCGGGCCAGAGTCGGCCGTCACCAGCCGCCGCGGGCGACATTTGCGGCACGCGCCGGGGTAAAACGATAACACCACTCGACGTAAGCACGACCCAGTCCAGGCTGACGATGTGAGCACCCAAGCGGCCTCGACCTGCACGTTCTGAGCTGTTCCGGGCCTGCGGTGCGGTCTGTCTGCCGGGTCGGGGGGAGCGCAAGCCGGACCAGACAGCCCGGAGGTCTGTCTGCCGGGTCGGGGGGAGCGCAAGCCGGACCAGACAGCCTGGAGGTCTGTCTGCCGGGTCGGGGGGAGCGCAGGCCGGACCAGACAGCCCGGCGGTCTGTCTGCCGGGTCGGGGGAGCGCAGGCCGGATTAGACAGCCCGGCGGTCTGTCTGCCGGGTCGGGGGGAGCGTAGGCCGGATTAGACAGCCCGGCGGTCTGTCTGCCGGGTCGGGGGGAGCGCAGGCCGGATAAGACAGCCCGGCGGTCTGTCTGCCGGGTCGGGGGGAGCGCAGGCCGGATTAGACAGCCCGGCGGTCTGTCTGCCGGGTCGGGGGGAGCGCAGGCCGGATTAGACAGCCCGGCGGTCTGTCTGCCGGGTTGGGGGGAGCGCAGGCCGGATTAGACAACCCGGCGGTCTGTCTGCCGGGTCGGGGGGAGCGCAGGCCGGACCAGACAACCCGGCGGGCTGTCCAGCGCGACGCCGCCGTCCTGCGCTGGGAGGCGGCCGATGATCGCGGCGGCGGACGGGCGGACGCGGCCCGCTTCCGTCGCCTCGCTGACGGGTCAGGCCAGGGGCGCGCCCAGGGGCATTGCCGGGGGGGGGGGGGGGTCGGACCAATGACGGTGACTCGCGAGCACCGCTCCAGCGACGTCGCTTCGTACATACTCGGACACCCTATCAGCAAACAAGCTGTAAATGAATCCGTGACTGGGCGTTCGACTCGAGGTTCGCCGCTGGGTTAGTCACGCTGAGACTGCGGGCGAGCACAGCGCGCGCCGACCGGTCCACCAAAAACGTGCACTCGAGAGACGGCGCGGTGAAGGGGTGACGTCATGCACTGGCGGGGAGGGGCGGAGGTGACGTCAGGCGTCACAGGACGTGAGAGGAGTGACGTTACATCGATAGAAGCAAGCACGGCGATGTTTGGTGCCTAGCGGTCTGGCCTGCTTTATTGTTATTGTTAACACACGGTGCTTGTATCGATAGTGTGCTGGCAAAATGTCATGGCCATAGCATCAGGAAACTGAAATACTTGCGGTAGCACGCATCGAGCCACACAGATACACTCCGAGAACTGCTGGGGCGTTTTCCGTTACCGATGGGCCCGAACCGTTACTTGCTGTAGAGTCGGCCCCTCAGACCACCAGATAAAGGCTGTATTCTGCCCCGGCTGGTTCAGCGCTGACGATCCGGGTCGCACCCGTCCGCTCTCCGTCTGTCCGTTACCCGTTCAGCCGTTCCTCCGACAGAGTCCCCACGTGCCCCTCCGACAGAGGCCCAACTGTCCCCTCCGACAGTGGCCCAGCTCCACCGGTCCCTCAGACAGAGGCTTCGCTCGCCACTCCGACAAAGAGAGGTTCGTGTGCCCCTCCGGCATAGGCCCCAATGTCCCTTCGACAGAGACCCTGCCGGCACCTGAGACAGACTCCTCCGGTCCCTTCCCTCTCCCGCGACCTTCCATTCACCCGGCCCGCCGGCGGATGGGTTCGTTGTGCCGCAATGCGGAGATGCCCTTTGCGGCAGCGTCTGGCTAGCCACAATTGCGCCATTTAATAGGGAGGCTCGAGGCTCACCTGCCTGGGAAACTCCGTGTCGCTCACATTATTTGAGCAGCAAGGTCAGGTGATGCTGTTCTGGACGAAGTCAGCGTTGTCGGCCAAGTTGCTGCATTAGCACTTGCCTAGCCACAGCTTTTCCCTTGTTCACAGCGGCAGAGCATTCAGCTTCAACCATATCGATATATTATGCCTATATTTTGCGTAAGTTGCGTTTGCAACGCGTGACGTGCAGCTACAACATTCATTTTGGTTCGTCACCACTTAAGCCCAGTGACCGGGGCTGTCATGGCCGCCGCTTGTTTACATGGTCGCCGGTGGCCCGGGGCGGAGCAGGTGCACGGTCTGCCCCGGGGTCTCGGTGGGGGAGCGGCGCCGCTCCAGCCGGCTGGCACCATGGGCGCGGGCAACAAAGGTCGCCGGAGTATCGGGAAGTGCTGGACACGGTGGGTCAGTGTTGTGCTGTATTCGGGGAATAGAAACACGCGTCAACACCAGCACTCGGCCCTGGAGGCACGCTCGCTCGTAAAGCAGCCAATAAAAGAAAAATTATATAATTTCATCAGGCATTTGGCGATGGGGCGCAATAATTATGTACACTTCGCTATTTTTAGCACGTGCCAAGCATACATGCCTAACATGAACTGTTTGCCGGAGGCTGGGGCACGCAGCTTGCAATGACCGATGGCGTCCGGCGGCTGGTGATGCACCATATGTGACGTCAGCCGTGACGTCAGACGTCTGAGCCGGCCAAAGGAGGGTACAAACTCCCGGCCGAAGGTGGGCAGGTATGACGCTGACCGGCGACGGAATGCGACTAGAGGTATGCCGAGCCACAACGCTTTTGTCGTTTGTGCTGCCGCCAAGGAGGATGACGACAGAAATGTAGGCGAAACCGACACACCCTCGAATCCTCTTCGATCGCACAGAAGATGCATGTCAGCTGGCCTTTGTCCAGTGCGCAGTGCTGCTGCGAAGCCGCTCCACGTCCATGGCACGGGAAGCGATGCAGCCAGCTCGGGGATTACGTGCGACGGTGGGCCTTCAAAAGGCCGTTTCGGGTCCGAGCTGGCGGGTCGGCAGTTGCTGATGCTCAGGCCGCGCTGCTCACCGACGTCTTGACAGTGCAAAGCAGGAATTAGTTTTTCCGTGTCCGCTCTGATTTTGCGCGTGCCGTAACAGCCGTAACGTTCGCAAGCGCGTGGGGGTCACGGTGACGTATGCTACGGGATGTGCGTGGCGCTACGTCGCACCGTGAGCCCATTTTGACTTAACATGACACTCAAAATAAGGAGGGGAACGATGCGTGCGTATTACCGTGAATGACGATTGCTCCCCGTAGATGAAGCTATGTAAAAAAAAACGTACGGAAGGATGCGATGGAATTGGATGTATTTGCGACTTTCATCAGGGCCCAACAGACTGTCGGCACACTTGCCGAACGACAGCGACCCTGCTATGCTCTATGCGATTGGCTGATGCTCATTACTGCTGGGTCTCGACAATTTTATGGAACGATTAAAAGGACTGATTATGTGCTGTCACTGCGTCACCGCCCTGTATGGCACGCGTCTTCATCAACCATTCACAGGTGGTTCACATTCATTCGCAGTTGAGTGTTCACATGCACCGCGAACGCTGATGAAAATATGGAATCTTGAGATAGTATCTGGCGCATCTGGAGATATTCCTACATCTTAGCTTGCGCATGCAGCTGTCGTCCCGCAGCTTGTCCTGGATATTTTCGCGTGAAGGGCGCTGGTGGGAACAGTGCGGCGGGCGCGGGTACGCCCGGCAGCGGACGCCAGCGGGTGGTGACGGGTGCCGTCGCGGTCGCTGCGCTTGGTGCGGTCGCCGCTCGGGCGCGTCGGGCGCTGCCAGTCAGCGGCCGATTGGCGTGACCGGCCGAGCTGGTGATTTTTCTGCGCGGGGTCGGACCGCGCCCAGCCGACCGGTGTTGTGTAAACGGCAATGATGGCCGGTGGGAGGCGCGAGATCTGTGCACAGGCGTTCGTAAGGGGTGGGGGGTGGGGGGGGGGGGGGGCGCACATCTGGCGGGGAAACACGCGTAACTTGACACCGCTTAGGAGATCACTAACTTGTTTTCCCCGGCCAAAATTTCGGCTGTGCCCCGTCTCTCTCGTGAAGCCTGAGTACGCTCTTGACATGTTGCCTGTTGCGCGGGGCGACTGGGGCGCGGTTCTAGAGACCGGGGGCTCCACGTTCACAGCTTGAGCCCGCAGTGGCGCAGGCGGCTGCCTCGGCGCTGTGGCCAGCGCGACAGCGCGTCAGCAGCAGCTTGACGCGTGCCCTTCGCTAGAACGTGACGTTACCAAATCTGGCAGCACTGGGTGTCATGACAACTCCATTAAACTAGCTCGTTCTGAAGCTCTGGCGACTGCGGCGGTAGACATGAACACGCTTGGCGCGCTGTCAGCAAATAGACACCAAAATACGGGATCGAATCGTACATGACCTTGATGGATGAGGCGAAAGCACAAAAACACTCCCAGCGAATGAGTGCAATTTACCAGCAAAACGGCATGATATCTATATCGATGAATCTGACAGGTATGCTGACGACTCACCTGACCGATACATCAATATCATGAATGTCCTGCGGCGGCTCAGTTCGATCACACCAACCGGGAGTGCGCAGCGCGACGGACGCCAAGGGGCTCCGTATCGCACAAAGACAAAGACGCCTCGGCGGCCGATAAATCGTCCAATGTCATCTAACAGGCTGCCGATAGCGTTGTGAGTCATGCGCAGGACATGCGCCGCACAGTGCACATTCGGGCACGACTGCGGGTTCACTGGGTTCATGGGCTTGGGAGCAGACGCTGGGTGGGCCATGGCGAAATTGAACAGTGAGCCTTTGGTGGTGCATGGAAAAAGTGGTCTCCAAAACCACACGCCGCATACGCTTGATGTTTCCCCTCCGCCGGCCCCTGGTTCTCTCCCGTCGGTTGGTCAGCGCCTTGTGTTGGCGTCGAGTCCCTCTGCAGCAGCCCTGAAAAGCGAGACGTTCAGCACACAGAGGGGACGCGCGGGGCGTGTTTGTTCCTGTGGGGGACCGGAAGGACCCCTTCCCACCGGCCCTGTCCTGTGAGCACTCTGTACACCTCCCGCGCCCCCTCCCCCGCTCCCACCCTCCCCAGCCTTTGTGTGCCGGCGGCGGCGGCGGTGCGTCGCTGCTCGCTCGCACGCGGCCGTCGCTCGGCTGACGTCAGTTCCTGCCGGTGTTTGCGCCGCTCCGACCGCGAACCCTGCCCGGTCGGCCCCGTCGACTCTGTGGCGACACGTGGGCGGAGGCTGGCGGCGCCGACGGGCGGCGCTGGCAAGGCTCGTCGGCCGCCCGTGCCGCCCAGCACGCGGTCTGCTCGTGCTCGCCGCGTCGCCGGCGTCACCGACGGCGTCACATCCCCGTCCGAAGTCCGCCTCGGGCTCGCCGTTCACTTCCTGTGTGTCTTCAGGCGCGCCGGGGCGCCGCGACACATCTGTAGAGACCAGAGCCGTTGACGCAGAGGAGCCCGCGCTCATCCCGGGCTGAGACACCGCCGGGCGGACCGGGGCGGCACGCATCTGACCCTTGACCTTCAGCTGACCCGTGCCCGGGCGTCATCTGCAGGGCGTCGCCGCTCTTGAGCCGGCGTCACCAGTGCTCTTCACACTCCCTCCTGGTGGCGGGCGTCGTCCCGGGAGAGCGAGCGCCCGCTCGCGTGGCAGCGGGCGGGCGCCCCGCGCCGCCGCGGGCCGGTGACGTCAGCGACGCGGCATCGGACCACACCGGCGCGGCGTCCCAGCTGGCGCGGGTGAAACGCCGCCTGCGGTGGCTCGCCGGCGGGGTGACCATGGCGCCACCGCGCCATCAGCGGCCTTCGCGCCGCACGCCCGGACGCCGCACGACGCTCGTTTGCAAAACCGGTTGGCAGGCGTTCACGTTTTTCAGGGTCGAAAAAGAGCTCTTAAGCAAGCCCGTATGGCTGGCTGCTATATTTGCACAGGGACTGATTCTGATGCCGACGAATACTTGTCGTTAAGGTGACTTGTGGCACGCTTACAAAAACGGGTAGCCGAAATGTTGTGAAGCAGGTGGGTGGGACACACCAATAGGCTAGGCATACTTCGTTGTCAGCCGGGGGTGGGGGGGGGGGGGGGGGGGGGCGGGGGGCGGAAGAGTGGGGCAGCATTTAAAGTCAATGTACAACTTGCACTTAACTCGTTCTAACGAGGCGGATGCCGGCATTTGCCATTGAACTTTGTGGTCATGGGAGCATACGGTAAGCATGTGATTACCTTAGGAAGTGAAACCCTCAAGACTCGGTCGGGTCGCTGCCCGAAATTTTGTTTTGCTCTCGGTGCAAATGCCCACAAAAATCCTGCAGGCTAGAAAATGGCGGCAATGAAAATGCATGCTTTTGTGGCGTAATTTGCATGCATTGAGTGTATTCTCAAATCCTTCGGGGCGCGAAATGGTCCTGGGAATCTGATCAAATCTGGTCACTTTAGGCGCTATTTCCAGAAATTCGTCCAATGGAAAGACACAGACTAAATCCTGAAAACAAAAGTTTACGGGCTGTTAACTTTCTTTGCTATCGGGGCCACGTGCAGTTATCAAGGGAGCGGTCACTGTCTTACCCTTGAATGCGCCCTTATTCCGTGTGTGGAGTGAATGGCATGCTTCTGTCAATGACTGTCACGGTCTGGGCGCCCGGCAAGATGTTCATGACTTCCGTGGTAATCGGCGTGATATTTTCTACGCCTACTGACCTTAGCTGGCGAATGTGCCATAAAATCGCAATGATAGCGGCGGTTTCGGCTTGTATGCATTACGTTCAGTTGAACAAACCGTAACAGGTGACAACATTGTTCAACAACCGTTAATTAGAGCACCCAGGGGCTGCATCATCAAACTATTTTATTTAATGACTGAGCTCATTATGTTAAAAATCTGTGCTTGATCAGCTTCAATGGCATCGGCTCCTATTATGACTCACGGTGCATGACATCACTATGACATTGACTCCAAGCAGTATGGTACCATGTTGAGTTGACTCCGAATCCGACTCCAGGCCATGAAGCTTTGTTCCAGATTTGATCGTGATAGAATGGATCCCAATAACCTTTGCACGGGGCGGAATCAAGGCCCGGCGGAATGGATAGCAAGCGTAAGGCAACGCATCATGCTGTGAGCATCTGGCGGCTTTTCAGGCGGGAAGCAGAGACTTTTCATCAAATTTCCTCAAGTCAATCTGGTAGCACTAATGGGTTAGCTGGTAGCAAACGCGACGCTCGCGGCGAAACGGAGAAGGGAGAGGACGGTCAGCTGCGGTGGTACGGGTCGGTTGGCTCCTCAACCCGTAGGAAAAACAAAGGACATCAAAGGTTAAAGTTTGGGGTGGGTGGTGAGGGTTCTGCTGTCTATGCTGACATGAACTGCTCGAAGCTGTTGCCCCTACTTACTGCCTACCAAGATAGAATATGGTGAGTGTGTGTGTCCGTTTGTAGAGCTGTCCCCAGTGAGGCACTAGCGTTAACAAGCATTGGTCGCATACCATTCTCACTTAAAGTGTATGGCACACCAGTAAACTGTGATTTGGTAGCAACCTGTTGAGTCTCTTGAGACTTGGCATGTCCTGTCTTATTGGTATGATGATGATCATGTCCTGCTTGCAGGTTAAGCTGATCACATGCTAAGGCACCACATCTGGGAGCCACTGTAAGCACACCATCTGGTGAAGGGGATCTGCTCCCCTTAGAAGATGGATTACATAGGAAAGTTCCTGTCAAACTTCAAAGAATTCTACAATGAAATCAACACAGCAACATTAACAGGTTTGTGTGTGCATGTGTGTTGTGGTGGACAACATCGACATGCTAGAAGCATGAGACATGCATACATGCATAGACAATCATCTAACCAGGTTTTTTAACCAACTGGCTAGACTTTTGCCCATATTATGCATTAATCCTAATGCAGCTAAGTATGCTGGTTAGGTGATGTCACGCAAAGAACATTCCCTTACAGGCGCTAGGCAGCATTGTGGAGTGTGACAGCTATCTTTGGACAATTTGTTAATAAGTTTTTCATTACAGGTGCCATAGATGTTGTGGTTGCACAGCAAGAAGATGGCTCATACATCTCATCTCCATTCCATGTTCGCTTTGGCAAGATTGGTGTCCTCAAAAGCAAGGAAAAAATTGTAAGTATTTATGGATCATTTGAATGTTCCTTTTATAGCATATACATGAAAATTTGTAATGCAAGCAAAAGGCAATTGATGTTGCTATTTAGATGAGCAAGCTTCATGTAATCTAAGTAGTTTGATGCAAGCTGCTTACATCCCTTTGACAAAATGTTGAATTATGGATTTACACATTCCATTCAAAGGACACATTTTCATAAGTGAACATGGACCCAGCATGCCTCATCTTTCACCAAACCTCTTGAAGATTTATTGTGAGATGTAGTGCCTCAGCATGTTTCTGCCCAGCCATTTCCTATTGCTGGCCCATGCCACCCACAGCCAGCCAGATGCCCCCACCCACCTCCTCCCCCTCCACAGGTGGACATCGAGATCAATGGCGAGCCCGTGGACATCCACATGAAGCTGGGCGAGTCGGGTGAGGCGTTTTTCGTCGAGCCGGTGGAGGAGGGCGAGGAGATGTCGTCGGCCGAGCTGGCCACGTCGCCGCTGCCGCAGCCGGCGCGCCAGCGGCCCGCCTTCCAGCCACTGCTGGTGGACGGCCGGCAGCTGGACAGCAGCGAGCCGTTCGGCGGCTTGCAAGACGCGGCCGAGGTGGTGGAGGGCGCTGCCGCCGCCGGCCAGGCCGTCGCCGCCGAGGTGCGCGTGAGCCTGGCCAGCATCAGCGACGGCGCCGCGCAGACCCAGCTGACGGTGGCCAGCGGCAGCTGTGACGTCACGCCGACGGCCGGCAGCCAGGCGCCGGACGCGCACGCACAGATGACGGTGACGGACGTAGCGCGCTCGCTGGATGCAGCGTCGGCGGAGGAGGAGCACACGGTGACCACTGACCTCAGCTGCAGCGTGCGGCCGCGGCCGGGTGACGCGCCGCTCACCTTCAAGGCGCGCAAGGTGGAGAAGCTGGTCAAGCTGGACGGCTCCACCATGTTCGTGCCGATCAAGAACACGGAGAAGGTGTCGGCCGGCACGCAGACGGAGCGCGAGCTCCACAGCAGCTCGAGCTCGGGCGGCTCGGCCGACTCGCGCACGCCCAGCGCCGGCGACGAGCGCGACCATGTCAAGAAGCGCAAACAGAAAAAGCGCAAGACGGCCAAGCACCGGCGCTCGCTCTCGGAGACCAAGGTGGAGGTGCGCGAGGAGAGCATCTTCGAGATGGAGGACGTCAGGCAGGAGGTGCGCGCCTCACGCGCCTCGCTCGACGAGTGGACCACGTGCAGGTCTGCCTACCCGCAGGACTGTCATCCGTTCAGCGACACGGACCTCAGTCCGGTCGGCAGGTACGGGTCCACGCGGCAGCCGGGGGGCTCGCGCCCCTGTCTCCGTGCGGGGGACCAGGCGTCCCTTCACCAGACGAAAATGATGAGCACTCTTAATGCTAGTCATAATGCATTTTTGTGTTTGCATCGTAGTATGGCATCATATTTGGTAATGTGCCGTTGGTAGTGCGGCTAGATCTATGCCTGCTGACGCATTACCTTACACTAGCGGCATAGATCAGTAACATGAATCAATAATGCCGTGTCGACCTTGACCAATACTGCCGTGTCGACCTTGACCAATACTTCCGTGTCGACTTTGACCAATACTTCTGTGTCGACGGTGACCTGTAATGCCGTGTCGACAGTGACCTATAATGCCGTGTCGGCGGTGACCTGTAATGTCATACGGCCCGTGACCAGCTGTGTGACCAGCTGTGGGCCGGCCGGCTCGGTCACGCCCCGTGCCCTGCCCCGTTTCAGCCCGCACTCGTCCCGCGCTCCGACGCCCATCAAGTCGGACACCGAGTTCGAGATCGAGCGCGAACGGCTGGTCAGCGACGAGGGCAGTCAGACGGACACCACCGTGTGGCAGTGGGGCGAACTGCCGTCGCCATCGCGCCCGCAGTTGCTGCCGCCGGCCGCCGCCGCCCCGCTGCAGCCGGCGGCGGCCGACGGCGCCGACGCGACGACGGCCGCCACCGCCGCCGCGGCCAGTGTCGCAGCTGGCGAGGAGCGCTCTGTTCTCTCTGGCATGTTCAGCTTCATGCGCAAGACGAAGAAGGCGCGGCACAACCCTGTGTCGGAGGGCATCTACCTGGACGACCTGAACCTGGAGTCGCTGGACCCGGAGGTGGCGGCACTGTACTTCCCCAGGTCGCAGTCGCTGATGACGGCCGGGGACAAGGGTGAGTCTGCCGGGCTCCGTCGGGGCTCTGCCCAGCCCGGCCGGACCACGCGCACTGCGGCCGTCCGCTGCTCTAACCTGCAGACCGGCGGCCGCCGGTGTCTGGCGAGCTCAGTGAGGCCCACAGTCTCCAACTTCGCCATATTATCTCAACGATTGTTGAGATAATTTGGCGACCTGTAGGCAGTGTGGCTATATAGCCTGTAAGCAGCGTGACTAAACCCATCGAGCATGCTTATTGGCGGCGGCGGCGTCGGCGGCGAGGAGAGGGGGGGGGGGGGGGGGAGAGAGACTTTTATCCAGTCCCGCATCCACATCAGTCACGAGCCATGCGCCCTGTACCGGGTCGAATAGAGAGCGTCACGCCCTCCCCTTCGAACCGACCGGCGGACTGAGCTGCCCCCCGCCGGCAGACGCGGCGGCCGATCACGGCCTGGACGACGACGAGGGCAACGGCTCGTCCATCCCGCACTCGCCGTCGCCGTCCAGTCCGCACAGCTCGGACGGCGCTGTCGGCGGCCGGCCGCTCGACCCCGACCTGGAGCGCCAGCTGGGCGACGTGGCCATGTCGCTATGCGGCGGCCTCGAGGGCTGCCAGGACGGCGATGTGCCCGAGAGCCTGTTCCTGCAGTGCCTGGTGACGTACGACGACCTGTGCGACGACCCGCGCCTGCTTGAGCGACCCGAGCTGGTGGTGCGCGTGGCCGGCCGCTACTACAACTGGCAGACGGCCGCGCCGCTCCTCTGCAGCGGCGTCATGTTCCGGCGCGCGCTGCCGGCCAACACCGTGCACCGGCTCGCCGAGCAGTTCATGCCCAAGAAGAAGCCGACCAAGAAGGGCGCCGGCCGCAGCTACTCGTGGTGGTCGTGGCGGCGCTCGGCGGCCACGGCGACGCGCGACGAGGGCGAGCCGCCCGCGCAGCCGGCGTCGCTCGACGAGCGCGACGCCTCCGAACCGCCGCCGCCACCGGCGGCGCCGACCGCCGAGCTGTTGAGCTCTGAACAACCGGCCGCCGGACCGGCGGCGCTGGACGAGCGGCAGGCGGAGGGGCCGCTGGTGATGGAGCCACTCACACCCGGGCCGTTGGCGCCCGAGCCGGCGGCGCCCGGGCCGCAGCGCGAGAGCGAGGCGCGCGCGCACCAGGAGTCAGTGGACCTGCGGCTGGCCGCGCAGACGGCCGAGTGCGAGACACAGACGGGCACGCCGCCCGACACTCCCGGCCGCCACTGGCCCGCCGTTGCCGGGTAAGTCGCGCGCCGCCCGCAGACTCCGCTCTTTCGGCCCCCGCAGACACCGCTCTGTCAGCCCCCGCAAACACCGCTCTGTCGACCCCGGCAGACACCGCTCTGTCTGCTGCGGCAGACGCCGCTCTATCGGCCCCAGCAGACACCGCTCTGTCGGGCCCGGCAGACATCGCTCTGTCGGCCCGGACAGACACTGCTCTGTCTGCTGCGGCAGACGCCGCTCTGTCGGCTCCCGCAGACGCCGCTCTGTCGGCCCTGGCAGACGCCGCCCTGTCGGTTCCGGCAGACACCGCTCTGTGGGCCCCGGCAGACACCGCCCTGTCGGTTCCGGCGGACGCCGCCCTGTCGGCCCCGGCAGACACCGCCCTGTCGGTTCCGGCAGACAGCGCTCCGTCGGCCCCGGCAGACATTGCTTTGTCGGGCTGTCTAGTATCAGTTACGTCTGATGTTCCTGGGGGGGGGGGGGGGGGGGGAGGGGGAGGGCGTTTGACAGCTTTGAACACTGTTTCCTTTCCACATTTAATATTTTACAGGTATATACTGTTCCAGTGAACTGAAAATGTCTGCCAGTGTCATTGGGCACGTGGTGTTTTGGTAGTGATGCTGGCTACTGGTCGGAATCCGATGCCATTTTATCGGTGATTCCTTTCAGACTATCAAACTTTGTTGGCACTGTCCCTTCTAGAAAGCAAAGTAACATTGTTGCATTATCCTGCATACCTCTTCTGACCTAATTCGCTTCTTGAGATCGCCACGGGGGCCCGCGGTCGGCTCGGGCCTGCCTTCTGGCGTCGGGAGCCGGCCGCGTCGGTGCCGTTCGGCGTGGTCACACCGCATACTGGACGTCGGCAGGGCGGCGGGCGCCGACAGCCAGCGTCACTCCGAGTCCGACGACACGGTCGAAGAGGAACTGCTCATCGGCGATGACCGCCGCTTCAAGAAGACGCTGCGCCTCTCCTCTGAGCAGATCGTGAGTGGCGCCGTGGGAGGCTGTGGCGGCTGTTCTGGGCGGCGGGTCGGGTCTGGGCGGGTGGTCTGCCGGCCCGGGCCGCGGCGGAACCCTCGCTCGCTCGCCGCCACCAGCCGCGGCCGCCCCCTGACCCGGAGTCGACAGGGCCGGGTTTTTGCGCCGGTGGCGGCTGTTGTCGCGGCCTGACTGGCAGTATGTGGGGCGCGGAGGAGGCCGCGGGTGCCCTGACGACGCCGGGCCGGCCGGGGGACGTTTTTGCCCGGGAGCCGGCGCCAGGGCTTCGGCTTCGAGACGGCGTCAGATGGCTCCGCATGCCCACGCGGCCCTTTGGACCCGGAGGTCGTCTGTATGGCGCAGGGGGACGGTGAAATGAGCGCCGGTGTAAACATCAGAGCCACGGTACGCAATTTGTACCAATCACATCGTTCTGTTCTGGTCTGTTCTGGTCGTTGGGTGGTTTTCCCGTACATGATATCAGTTGTGTTCACATTGTCGTATTGCTTGCATCCTCATTAACTGCCTCATCTTCGGAATCAAGTAGGATTGTTCTTAAGATGTTGCTTGAGGAGTGCCGTTGTGGAGGAAAAAAATAGTTTCCGGTCATTTGAGCCAAATTCTTACAAAAGCCCCCCCCCCCCCGAAAACCAAGCTTGAACGAGAGAAAACTGTTTTTTTTCGCTGTTTTAGCGGGCATCATTCCGTGTTGATGCGCCTCCCACGCAGCGGGCGGGGGTGGGTTTCTCCCAAGCACAGTTGATCTCAACTACCGCGCCCTGAGAACGCCTCCTGGGCCGAACGGGTTTAAATATTGGTACAGATGTATGACTGCCATCGCGGGATTGTTGGGCTCAGCACTACATTGCAGTCAAGCGTACACATCCGCGACTACGGTAGCTTTGGGGGCAAACTGTTTTGGGATGTTTCTTGAGTATCCCGTTTATTTTAAGAGGAAGGTAGGCGCAAAGCGTACAAAGACCGTGCTCTTTCCCGTTTTCGTAGACTGGTCTTTCTGATACGGCCGCATCTCACTTGGTACCCCGGGCTCAATTTCGTCCCATCCACCGCGGCTTATTTGATAGTGGCCCAGCGGCGCCGGCTGTGAACTCAACCGTGGCTGGAGCGTGTGCGCGTGAGAGCGGCGGCTGACCGTCGGCCGGCCCGATGCGCAGGTCCGGCTGGGCCTCCACGAGGGCCAGAACGAGGCCTTGTTCAGCGTCACCACCGCCTACCAGGGCACCTCGCGCTGCAAGTGCAACATCTTCCTCTGGCGCTACGACGACAAGATCGTCGTGTCGGACATCGACGGCACCATCACCAAGTAAGCAGGCAGGCGGGCGGGGTAGAGCTCTGACTCTGAATCTGATCTGAGTCTGGTCGGATCTCGCAGGGCCTGCCGACCGGGCGGCGGCCGGGAAACCCCGGCTGTTACCGGCGCTCCCGGCCGCCGGCGCTAGCAAGCATTGTTTTTTTATGTGGCATTCGGGCTCTTTCCGTGTTGTCAGGGCGGCGGACGTGACTCTAGCGTCGCTGTGCTGATGCCGTGTGAGCTATGTGCCGGTATAAACCGGTAGAAGACGGCTGGAAAGCCGCGGGCGCGGTGCGAGCGCTCGCCGGGTGAACAAACGGTCCGGTCGGTCCGCCGCTGATGGCCGCCAGCGGGGACCGACGCATCTCATCCGGAGGCTGCACCGACCCCGGTCGGCCGGGGAGGGAGGGGACGGGGGAGGACACACAGCTGGCGCATAACGGGCGGCCACGCGCACCGCTGACTGTGGCGGCTGTTGGACGAGCGTCGCTCCAAGGTCCTCGCGATTTCCTGTTGCCGCTCAGTCGACGCAGCTGCGGTGCGTCACGCTCTGACGTCACCGGTGCATGTGTCTGCCGCGCGGCGCGGCCTCTGTTCCCCTGGCCTCGGCCGCTGGTGTTCGGGGCTCGGCGGCGGCCGACCGGCGGCCCGCCACGCGTCCCTCTGAGCGGGGCGGACCGGGCGGCCGGCCGTGCGCCGCTGCCGTCAGCGGCGCGCCCCGCTGCTGCCGGTCGGGCGCGCCCCGAAAGCCCGGGCGGCGCCGGTCGCCGACCCCGACTGAATGGGGTCGCACACGCACGGCGCCGCCGCGTGACGCGGCCGTGGCTCTGAGCTGGGTCGCCGTGGGGATGAGACACAGGCACGACTGCGCACCACTTCTGTGAGCTCTGGAGGGCGCTGGGAGAAGGCAGGCTGTATGCTGTATGATGACACGCCTGGGCTACGGAGAGAGAGCACGCTGAGTATGCTCGGGATCACTGTGACAACCGGTATTGAGAACCGACAGCAAAACATGCGAGGATCAACCAAGGCGGACTTCTTCCCAGTTATTGTGCAGTTTGGAGCCGTGGAGTGACAGGCGAAACAAGACATTCATTTAAGGTTACAACCCGGTTTGTGTTGAATAGACCATTGTGCAGAGGTGCCTGTAAAAGGTCACGGGAACAGCGGGTTAGTGCCCTGCATCCACGCGGTCTGCACACGCGGTACAATGGCTGCTGGTTCTGTCCCGCTCCGTCCGCTTTAAAGCCCAGAGTGCTGTCGTCGTCATCCAGGGGCCGCCTCCCACCCCGGTGTGTGGTGTGGTCCGTGCCGCCGCTCCGTCAGCGGCGCGGCGTCGGGCTCGGCTGACAGCCGGCGGCCGCCTCGCGGGTCAGGCCGAGGGCCGGCCTGGCACACCCGGCGGCCGGCCACGCCCCGTCAAGGTCCCGCCGCCGACGGCACGCGGAGGTCACGTGCCGGGGGTGACGGCCGCCCGGGCGGGGGGGGGGGGGCAGGGCTGTGACCTCTGACTGTTGGTCGGACGGCGGCCGGCCAAGTTCGGACGCGCCGCTCTTGGCACGTGGTGGGCGGGGCGGACGGGCCTGTGTTTAGCGGCACGCCAGTGGAGGGACCACGTGCGCGGAGCCTGGGATTCACAGTACAGGGCTCGGTAGTGGCCGGGCGGACGCAGACGTGATTGGAGCAGTTACGCGGCTACGACGTGTGCCAGCGAGACGTGAACCGACGGGACCGGGCTGGAGGGGCCAACGCGCTGCGTACTGAAACAATGATAGGGCCGGCCAACGGTTCTGAATTCTTGACTTGTATAGAACGAGTAGTGAACGAGTTCGCTGCTCTTGTTCAGAGGAGCAGTGGTATCCAGCTTAGTCGTGCGTTAAGTTGGGTAGAACTTAAGGTATTACCAAGGTTGTTGAAGCGCCGTAAAACTAGAAATATAGGTCAACTATGTTCAAAAACTGAAGAAAATCAATCATTTTGTTATGTGTTATTGTGTTTGGTTATGAAGCTGTGGATTTGAATGCTCTCGTAATTAGAGCAGCGTTCAAGATGCTGTCATAGAGGATTTCGCTTCCATCAACGCCACAGCACCGCAAAATTGTAATAGCGTTAATAAAAAACCCGGCAAAAGTAAAGATGTCCTATAAATCGCGGGAGTTCACCACTACGTTGTACATATCTAACCTAAAAAAGCCTTTTGTTTGCTTGACACAATATTTTCTATGCGCGTTTTGATGGCTAAGGGATGCCCAGCTACACCTGCAGCACATACCCAACACAATAGTCGCGGCTTGCCATAGCAACAGCTCCTCACCTGAGCCGGGCCATATGGTCCGTGCCATCCTAGCAATGTCTCTGTCGCCGCGGCGTGCGGTGTTCCGGCCCGGTCACCAGCACCTGGCAGCGGTGTCTGGCACGTGACGACACGCCGTCGGCGCTCGAGACCTCCCTGCGCGCCTTGACGCGGCCTCTGAGTCATAGCTCTGAGTCAGGGGTTTGAGTCGGAGCCGTCGCGCGGGACTCGAACGGGTCAGCGGCCTCTGAGTCAGGGCTCTGAGTCGGAATCGCCGCGCGCGGGATTCGCCCGGGTCGGCGGCCTCTGAGTCAGAGCTCTGGGTCAGACTTGTGAGTTGCAGCCGTCGGTACACGGGACTCGACGGGTCGGTCGCCTTTAAGTCAGGGCTCTGAGTCGGAGCCGTTGGAGCACGGGACTCACGGGGTCGGCGGGCTCTGAGTCAGGGCTGCGGGCGAGCTGACGCTGTGGTCGGAGCGCCTGGCGGGCCGCGCTCGCGTCGTCAGCTCCGCGGCCCGGCCCGGCCCGGCTCGGCCGCCTGACTGGGCGGCGCCGTGCGGCCGACCCGGACTGGGACTGCGTGCCTGGGCGCCGGGTCTGCCACAGCGGGGCGGCTGGTGACAGTCGGCAGGAGCTGCCAGACCGGCGGCGGTGACACGAGCCAGCGTCACCCGCGCGCGCCGGCCGCCGCGGCCGTGCCAGAGCCGCGCTGGAGTCCCAGCCGGCCGCCGCTAACTGCCGACCGTCTGTCTGTCCACAGGTCTGACGTGCTGGGCCACATCCTGCCCATCGTGGGACAGAACTGGGCGCAGAGCGGCGTGGCTGCGCTCTACTCGAAGATCCGGGACAATGGCTACAAGTTCCTGTACCTGTCGGCCCGCGCCATCGGTCAGTGACCGGGACGGGCCCCGGACTCGCTAACACTCGTAACACTGTCCGGTTGTCGTCAGACGTGTGTGTGGATAAAGAAACCTAGTCGGTATTGAAACAAAATGACAGACAGATCCTGAGTGTCAGGTGATTTCACAACACGATAATTGGTCCGGATTCCTCGGGATCCTTCGGCAAAATAGAAGCGGTATCCTTGATCCCTGTAGATTCCCCAGCAAGTTTTAAGATGGGTACAGGGTGTTAGGAAAATCCGAATCCGTATCCCAGAAGATAATTCGGCTTATGAGGTGCTTTTGCCCAATTTAGGGAACATCAAACCTACTACAAAACACGCAACAACCTTTCCGCCAGGTACCGCTCTCTTCCAGCATTCGAAGCCAGTTTGTGTTAGATAATGTAAACGGATGTCAAGGAGCCTTTTGAAAGGCCGACACGAGACCCGCGATCCATGCACCGAAATGCATTTCCGAAAACTACTCACTGGCCGGATTACAACCAGCGCACGGTTCACACGGCTTCGTGCTGTGCGGAAATATCTCCGCTGGCTGTATCTGGCCTGCCGGAGCGTGTGTCAGCCGCAGAGCTCAGCTGTGCCGCCGGTGGCCGCAGCTGGGCCGGCCCGGCTCTGCGCTGTTGACCTGTGCGGCGCCCGGTGCCGGGTGGCGCCCCGACCCGTCCAGGCCCGGCCGATGACACGCCGTTCCGTTGCAGGCCAGGCCCCGATCACGCGCGAGTACCTGCGCTCGGTGCGCCAGGGCGACGTGCGGCTGCCGGAGGGGCCGCTGCTGCTCAGCCCCTCCTCGCTGGTCAGCGCGCTCCACAGGTGAGCAAGCCCCGCCGCTCCGCCTCCCGTCGGCGCAGGCCGGGTGGGATGCGTCAGGCCGACCTTGCCGGTCGCGAGCGGCCGGCTTTGGCTGTGGATGTTGCGGGTTTCGTGACCTGTGATTGATGGCGCAGTGCAGTGTTGCTCGTAAGCCGCTGCAGAGTGAGACATCGGGAGCGCTGGTGGAGCGAGTTCTGAGAATCCGCCGAGTCATGCCGAGTAAGACCCAATCCGGGCAGCGCATTGCGTGCTCCGTTTGGTACGCCGCAGTTTTGCATGGCTGCCGCGTGCAAGAGCCGGATATGGGCATACGTGCTGCGTACCACGCCCATGGCCGCCGCGCCGGTGCGCGCTGGGTCGCGAACGGAACAGTGAAAACCGATCTGCTGCCGCCGGTCAGCAGCGCTGATCGCTGATTGGTTGCACTGCGCGACGGGCGGCTCCGGAGCCTCGCCGCGGCGTCACCAAGGTGGAGTGCCCCTCGCTGACGTCACGGCGGTGTAGCCTCCAAACAGAGCATGTAAACAAACTCGGACAAGTGCAGAAGCGCCGGTTGTCCTCGACGGGAGTGATAACGGTCGAGCGCCGAAGGCTAAGCTGTCAGGGAATCTGAGCCCGGGCCCTGTTTTCATTCCTGTCGCGTATCTTTGTGAAGCGCTCGTGATAAGGTTATTTGCGCGATGGATTGAAGTGAACAGATTTCGTGATTATACTGCGCACGCCTCTGACAGGATTGCGCCTGTCAATGGCGGCAAAAGAGCGCATTGTCGAGTACGCCTCTTTCAGTGCTCAGTCTCGATTACGTTTTGCGCGATTTTCGTGCACCAAAACATCCAAGCTGCCACGCGGGAGTGAGCCGCTCTAGCCTGGCGTATCGCCGGTAGTGGCACCGTAGACTAAACAGTGATTAGCTTGGTCAGAGTGTCAGCTGTCGTCGACCAGCGCCGGCGCCGCAGGGCCGTCGGCCAGCTGCGGGCGGTTTTCCTCCCTCAGCGCGCCCCGGGGGTAGTGCTGGCCGGTGTCCGCGGTAACCCCAGCGGCTATCGATCCTGACATCGACCCGGCGCCGCGACCCCCCAGCTCTGGTTCGGCCGGCACTAGCGGCGGCGCGGCGCAGGGCACGCGCCGGCCCGTCCCGCGGCCGCCTCACCGACCTTGATCCTGCTCAGGCGCCGCCCGTGACGGCGCCCTTGTCTCAGCGATCGACCGTCGCCCGATACCTCGTATCGGCGACTCCGCTATCCGGCCGGATCGGCGCAAATAGTCACGGCTGGGCTTCAGGGCCGGGTACTGCGCCGCGACGGCGGCGGGGCGGGGCGGCCGCAGCCCGCGGTGTTGACACCCCCCACGCGGCGGGGAAGGGAGCGGGACTCCTGAGGCGCCCGGCTCATGCCTGCAGTGCGGAACGCCACGGTGTAGTTGTCCTAGCCTTGGCTGGCGAGCGGTGTTGCCCAAATGGAGACGGGCTTGTCATACTTTGATGGGCCATGGTCTACCCGAACTCATCGGTCTTTGCAAGCCACGGCATCATTAAGCCGAACTGAGTACGTGGCTAGGTTCGGGCAGTTAAATCAGTAAGCAGCGTATGTGTTTATTAGTGGAGAGCCATGTTTTCAACGCGCACTGGGATCGCTTCAGCTCCACATTTTCACGTCACGCTATGGCTTTCCGACGGAAAGAGGTTTGAATTTACTGATGGTTTTTACTGTAAATATGCCTTCATCTGATTTCAGCCTTCAAGCACCGAGGTTCAGTTGACATCCGGAAAACAAAGAATGAGAGCCTTTACAAACATTTAGAGGCATGGTTAAAGCTGGAATTATGTTATTGTAGCTGTATAATTTTTGATTATCTGGCTTTTTATGACAAGAAGCGGTAGCCGAAAGTTAATGCACTACATTACGTAAAAACCGTCTTGCGTTAGGTTCGCACCGATGAAAGATGGAGGATCTTCGTTAAGATGTTGTAACAAAGATGCACATTTATTGTTCCATGACGTGCGTGCGAGGATTCGTCGCACGTGATGACGCAGCCGTGTGTAGCGACTTCCACAATATATTCCACAACGTTCCCGCCTGTCACGAGCCATCCCACCGCCTTGCACGCTGCGTGCCCTTTCGACGCTCAATGCGTGGACAGTGCTGCACCGCTTCTGTGAGCGGTTAGGGCAGCGGGAACATTGGTCCTCATTCGGAGTGCCAATGTAGCGGTGTGAAGAGCGAACAGTGGAAGGAGCGAGCCTCAAATTGATGGGATTACTGCCGAAGGGACGCGCATATAGGTGTAAATGCACAGTGCGACTCATTTTGCAGCACTCAAATAACAACGATGACGCTTGGCAGCGGCTCGATGGTATTATGAAACGCCTCGCCAACTGGACCGTTTTACACCTCCCATATTTTCATGAATGGCTCAAATCAAGACGTAAAATTCTGACTTAAAATGAATCCTACGTCTGCTTTTACTTCGCATGCAGTCCATGACAATAAAGGAGTAGTAAGCATTTGACCGGTTTCCTCAGCCAGTGATCTGGAGCGTGATTTCGTCGTCGGCGACAATAAGGCCGGCCGACGTTTTGTGGAGCGCCCGGGCGTGGCTGTGGCCAGAGACTAGAGACCCTTGTATAACCGGGTAGGAAGTGCGCCACTGCCGGGCCGGTGGCGTCGCGGGGCAGCCGATGCCGCCGCCGCCGCCGCCGCCGCCGCCGGGCGCTGTGTCGGGCACGTCCTCCGCCCACCAAGAGATTTGCGCAAGGTCTGGGCCGTGGCCGTCCCGCTGTCAGCACTTGACGCAACAGACTGGTCACGTGACGCGACAGACTGGTCCTGTCGGCGGGTCGCCGATCCGTCTGCCTGTTTTCCGGCCGCTGCTGGCCGCCATACGATTGGTGGCTGATGGAGTGCAGAGCCGCTAACCCGTTTTGTGTAGCCTCTTCGTAAAAAGTCGTTGGCGTACGATGAAAACCTCGCCACGCGGATCCGTGCAGGTACCGGCTCCAGCGGGGCCGGCAGTGACCTTGGATTAGCTGGCCTGGCCTGACCCGTTTCTCCGTTTGTCTCAGCTGATCCTTACAGAAGCCCTTCGGCGTGTGATGCTGTGTGCCGCCTCCCGCTCCGGCCCGTGCCGTCTGGCACCGGCCCTGTTTGCCCGCGCGGCGCGTCTGACTGTCGTCCCTCCGCCGCCGCCGCAGGGAGGTGATCGAGAAGCGGCCCGAGGACTTCAAGATCCCGTGTCTGCGCGACATCCAGGCGCTGTTCCCCGGCCAAAGTCCGTTGTACGCCGGCTACGGCAACCGCGTCAACGACGCCTTCGCCTACCGCGCCGTCGGCATACCTTCGTCGCGCATCTTCACCATCAACCACCGGGGCGAGCTACGTCACGAGCTGACACAGACCTTCCAGTCGTCGTGAGTTCCGCCGGCCGGCCGGCCGGGCTTGCGCGCCCTGGCTGCCGAGGTGTGTTGGGTATGGGGACCGTGGCCCGGGTGACGTGGGAGCCGGGGCTTGGGCGGTGTGCGGACCGGGGCCTGGGTAGTATTGGGACGGAGGCCCGGGCGGTGTGGGGACCGGGGCCTGGGTGGTACGGGGACCGGGGCCTGAGCAGTGTGGGGACCGGGGCCTGGGCGGTATGGGGACCGGGGCCTGGGCGGTGTGGGGACCGGGGCCTGGGTGGTATGGGGACCGGGGCCTGGACAGTGTGGGGACCGGGGCCTGAGCGGTATGGGGACCGGGGCCTGGGCAATGTGGGGGCGGGGGCCTGAGCGGCGTGGGGACCGGGGCCTGGGCAGTGTGGGACCGGGGCCTGGACGATATGGGGACGAGGGCCTGAGCGGCGTGGGGACCGGGGCCTGGGCAGTGTGGGGACCGGGGCTTGGACGATATGGGGACGGGGGCCTGAGCGGCGTGGGGACGGGACCTGGGCAGTGTGGGGACCGGGGCCCTGGGATGTGGGAACCGGGGCCCGGACGATGTAGGGGCCGGAGTGGCGTTGGGGGGGGGGGGGGCAGTGGGAAACCTTCCGGACCGTGTCAGGGGTGGGGATGCATGTTCCAATATCGTCCGGTTATGAGGCTGAGGTAGAAATTTCGTGTTCCGTAAGCGGTTGGTGACTGAAGCTTGTGGTTGCGGCTGGTGACGCGAAGCTCGGCGTAAGCTGCCCTTCCGCCGATGAGCGTGGAGCTGAGACGTTCGGAAGGGTCGTCGCATCACTGCTGCTATGATATCGGACTCTGCAGGGGGGAGCCGAGCTCGATTGGCGACTGCAGCCGTGGTCGCTGGGCGCTGATATAACACCTGCTGCGCTTCTCAAGGGGCTGTGCGACAAGGCCTGTCTTGCGTCCATGTCAAAGCTGCTTGGAAGCTCTCAGTCCTGGATTCAGTCTGAAATCCGATCGCAGCTGGCGACACTGGCCAGCCGCGTGGGACGGCGCTTATTCAGTCCAGACATCTGACCACGATCAGCTTTTGACAGCATTGTAACATCACATTATGCAGACCATAGAGTTCTGCTAAAGCAGGTCGAATGATACGGCCGAGACTTGGCTCCGATCCTTTGGTATAGGTCTTCCGATCCTCTGATACGCCGGTGTGATTGGCCGGTTCCAGTCCTCGGGCGGATGTAGAACTGCGATAAAGCGTCCAACCCTCGAGGTTTCTCATCATCGTACGTGGTCAAAGTGCCTCCTCAATCTCATGGGACTGATGTGAAGCTCCTAATCTGCCGGCCATCGTCGCCCGGACGAGGCCAGCGGCAGCAAGAGTCCGGCAGCTCCCGAATGACTGCGCGCCGCGCGTCAGCGGCCGGAGGGCCTGCCGTGTTGGACCAGTCACAGCTGGTCGCCTCGGGTTCCGCATTACTATTCAGGCCACGTGCGGGCGCGTGCTCGTCGCACGCTCGGTGCTTCCGTTTGGCTCCGAGATGTTGCTCTCGTGCCGGGAAACGCCGCATTGCGCAACGAATGTGCACTATGACGTGTTATGGAGAGCGGTAGAGGCGCGAGGCGCTTCCGCAAGGTGCTGCTCGAACAAGGGAACTATTGAAATTCCATGTCAATGTACGACGTCCTAAAGTGTCGGGCGCACTTCGCTGGTCTTTCTTTTCGTTTACGTGACATGTTGGTGGCAAATGTGCATGTTTTGGATTTTCTTTTTGATAACGCATTCAAATATTTGCGGGAAGGGTAAAAAAGCAATTCGAAAACATAAAAAATGCGATATCATTAGCCACATGTCTTAATTGGCGCTAATGGAAAACAGAAATTCTCTTCCCCACTAGTGCGAGTTATAAGACCACCGGAATAAAATACTGAAGCGAATCAGGAGTAGTTCATCTGTCAGACGGCGGGGACTCGGATCTGCGGACCCTAGCTCCCGTCTTCTCCATAATATATCATTAAATGTAGCTAGACTTAGAGCCAGATTTGGTTGTTGCGCCCGAAGCACTTAAATTGACAAGAACCCCGAAGTCTTCGACGCCTCGTAGAAAGATCACTTTCTCAAGCTGAGAATAATTAGTATTCCACTGCATCCACGGATCCTTCTCCTCCTTATTACTACATCGCCTTAGTCACAAGTCTCCTTGATGTTCTTTCGCACCGCCATCACTTTTGGTTTCTATAGATCAGACTCGTGGGTCGTTTTTGAAGCGCCCCGAATACTTGCTTGTTACCGCGTTAAGCGGTGCAAAAGCGGCGTGACTGGTAGAAGCATGTATGCAGACCGTGAATGCCTCGTGCTGGCCTGTCTCGTGTATGCTAGTTCGTTTCCCCTCCCACTTTTCTATGTAGTTAAACCCTTCCAGGTGCGCTTGATATCTCCGCGAAACTCTGCCGTCGGCCACCTCTGTCGCACTGTATGCCATCTCTGGCAGAGCGCATGCGTTTGACCTCGCTCGCCGACCGCGCCTCTTCCCATTGCGCTCTGCCGGCTGCCGGGGCCGGGCGTCGCTGGGCGTGTCCGTCCGAGGTTGAGCCTTCCCACAGGCGCCGGTCTGGTTTTCAGCTACCAGTGCCAGATGGTCGAGGTGGACGTCCTGTTCCCCGCCGCGGAGAGGCGCAGAGGAGAGGTGGAAAGGTTCTATAGTCTGGATGTGCCGGACGACGACCTGGAGGACGCGGCAGCCGCCGGCCGAAGGGTCGCGTCCACCTCCATAGATATCCCCCGCCCGGCGCCGCCCGGTGAGATGCGACCTGATCTGACCGGACGTGACCTGACCTGGCCTGAGGTGGCTCGTACCGTCTCCTAACGCCGCTGACCGCCACACGACTTCGACAGAGTCCACGCGACCGGCATCGGGACGCGGGCGTTGCGAGTGGCGCGACACTAACACCGCTTGGTGGCTGAACGGGGCAGGCTGTAGTCGTAGTGGTGGCCGCTGGGTGGCGCTGCAGTTTCGGTTTCGGCAGCTTCGTGCATGTGTGCGGGAAAGTGGAGGCATGAGGGTTCGTGTCTGCTCTCCGGTGCTCCTCCGGATGACTGCTGGTGTGGGTTTTGAGTCCCAGGACGGACAAACGCACTTGTCACGATCAGGCCACGATCGGTAGCCATCGTTGGGCGACCCCTCTGAGGGGGTCTGTTTCCTTGTCACTCTGCTGGTGATGCTGTTTTCTGAATTGGCCCGTGTGGTGGCCGGACTAGGGGGGCCCTGCGCCCTCTGATATCCCAATAACTGATACACGCTAACATCTGATCTGCGATGAGCACTGTCCACGAGCTTTATCTATGCGCTGGGAGCGTGGTGAGTTGGATTTGTTAATACCTTTATGGAAAGCCTTTCGCCGACGTTCGGTGCGACGTGGCCCAAGCGCGACACCGACGCGCGGGTGACATGGGACCTTGCGTTTCAGCTATACAAATCTGACGAACATCGTGGACCACTTCTTCCCGCCGGTGGTCGAGCGAGACAGCCAGGTGGCCAACATCGACTTCAACTCGTTCGTCTTCTGGCGGGACCCCATCCCAGAGCTGTCGGAGCTGCCCCTTCTCTGAACAGGTGTGCGCTTGTGAGGTGGCACGGTAGTGACATTTGACCCACGTGCTCTGGGCCGCACGGAACATGCGTTTTCATGCGTGTGCGTCAGCAATCTTCTTTTGCCCGGTACAACCCCGCAATCGAATACACTTCTGATGAATGACAATAGTCATTCCATGCGCAGGTTGTCAAAGTTGGCTCCGCGTTAGCCAGTTATCGGTTTGCGATGTTGATCCTGTGACGTCTCCAGTTTCGCCCGCCTATGATAGAACTGTCCGGGCTATGGCGACGCGGCTGACCTCGGGTCTCGTGTGGGAGGCGGGCGGCGTCGGCTGCGGAGAGCAGCACCTAACTTGCCCATGTTGCAGGAGCTGGGCCGCCGGGCGCGCTGACCGTGCTCGCTGTGCGTGGCGCTGGTGTTGGCCGCCCTCCTGCGGCCGCTGCGTCCGGCAGCACCCCGCCCGGAGCCCCGGCGGCTCCCCGCGCCCGAGCGCCGTCACCACCGGAGGAAGAGGCCCTGGGCTCACGTCGCGTGGTGTTGTGCCGAGAGCGGGGCGCAGGTGTCGGTTGTGAGTGGTGTTTGGTTCGCTCCGGTCGGAGGGCGGCCCATGTTGTGTCGGGAGCTACGGGGCGAGCAGGCTGTGGACGCCCTTGCCGGCCGGGGCCCGCGCCGGGCAGCCCGGCCGCCGCGTGGGGCGCTCGCCGCGGGAGGGCAGGGTGGCCGAATGGGAGGCGAAGGGGTGATACAGCCCGGGCTGACTGGGACGGTCCCGTCACGGGGCACATGTAAGGATGATGGGATGGGGGACGTGCCGGGTGGGTGGGGCGATCGCACTACGGGGCGCGTCTGGGGAGGGGATCCGTTGTTGGCGTCTTCGGACAGTCCGAAGCCGGTCGAGAGCTTCCGCCGGGCTGCGTGCGTCGATGGGGACGTCCGAAGTGGTTCTCTCGCGGACACGTGGAGTAGATAGCTTTCGTATCGACGGGCTGCCGTTTAGCGTCTGTGTAGACCGTAATCGTGCGGGGCTGGTGGGGCCCGCTTTTGACCGTTTAAGCTGTTGGTGTTGTCGACGGCCCTGTTGACTCGTTATGTGGGCTGCGCCGCCGGCCGGAGTGGCTTTCATTTGGACCTGCTGGCTGTTACCGCTGCAGAGGCAGCGCTTTCATACGGCTGCCGCCGGTCCCAGTGAGATGTTCCTCACAGGAGCCCGTGAACTTTTGTCTGGACTTGGCGCGGAGCGCTCCAGGGTAATCGCTTTAGTTGGTGTAGCGGATGATTTACACATACACACACGTGTCACCTGTCTAGTCGGGACGAGGACGAGCAGCGGCGCTCGATGACGCCAGTACAATGACGGCCGGGCGGCGCTGGCGCGGCTGACACCACTGCTTCTGTCTTGCCCATTCCCGGTTTTGTTAATATTTTGTGACTTGAAATACAAGCGACGTTGCAAAATGATCCTCCCGCTTTTGCACTGCCGTGCTGCCGTGTTTGAGCCGCCGTAGGAACGTCGGGCGACATGTTCTGCGAAGCACCGCCGCACGCTGCGCGCTATATGGTGAACCAGCGCGTGGCTCGGAGAGGTGTGACGCATCGATCCAGAATGTCTCGTCAGGTTGTGTGACATCAGGGGAGACCAGTTGTAGGCAATTGTGCATCACCAGGATTGCCGGATGTTGTCCAATCACTTTACAGCACCCCCGTTTTTCGTGTCAGATTGCATAGATCAACGTCTGGAGAGGCGGGTGGCGGTCCTGGGACGGAGCACATGGTGATTACGTGGTCATTACATTATGGTGACTACATGGTGATCTGGGACGGAGCACATGGTGATTACGTGGTCATTACATTATGGTGACTACATGGTGATCTGGGACGGACCACATGGTGATTACGCGGTCATTACATTATGGTGACTACATGGTGATCTGGGACGGAGCACATGGAGATTACGTGGTCATTACATTATGGTGACTACATGGTGATCTGGGACGGAGCGCATGCTCATAATCTCGGGATACCGGGATTGTGAGAAAGTCAATGCCGGGAATCCTGGGATCCCGGGATTTGAGAGGTTTAATTCCGGGAAATCTGGGGATCTAGGGGAGGAGCAGTTTTTTTATGAGCAGTGCAACCATTCAGGCTTTTCCTTAGATATCATATGTCGTTCATGCTTTTACCATCACAAGAGTTGTCCGCTGGCATTAAATCATATTGGACGGCATTAAAAGTAAACATAAAAGCTTCACCAATCGGAAAGTTCAAAATAAGACATCTTCCGACACTACACTTGTCGAGACAGACAAAGTCTTCCGTGTTCTCCGCCCCAACCAAAGTAAGGCATGCGAATTGCATCATTATGAATGTCTTGTTAACATTTCGAGTCAGGACGCAGTAGACCTCCCCATCGTAGCCTGGCCAGCAGGATACCATTGTCCGCATTGTCATTTCAAGAAGCAGAGGGTATCAACGGCCTCGTCGCCGAGCTTCAACCGTGCGTACTATTGTGACGATATTCCCGGCAGGTTGCGAACATTTGTTCCGGCTCAATACTCGTTGGAACTACGCCATGGAGCCAACTGTAGGTCAGTGCTGTTATGCCCATCCTTCCTGAGACGGGCGAGCTCTCTTATTTTTTCCTAATGGCCTTGGCCATAAAAGAAAGTACTAAGAAAAGTCGGTCCCGGACGCACATGAACTGTGATCCGGCTTTGAAACCTCATGAGCGTCTCCGAAACTGTCTGTTGTCTCACTAGATCGGGATGGTGCAGCAATACCCATGCAACCATATGAGCTGTTGTGGTACGTGCGTGGGAGACGGCGGGTGGAAAACGAGTTCGAGCTCGGACCCTGGCAAGGTGTGGTGCGATGTCGGCAACAGTCCTCGTAAATGCACGGCGCAGCTGGTTTTTACAAGAATTCACATGGTGCGATAGCATTTTGGACGTAACACCACACGAATTCTTCATTTTTGGTTATCAAGCATTGGTAGCTTAGTTGTAGGTACTAACAGCCACACTTTTTAAGCAATGTTTTTGCACGGTGGAATATCATGGGATCCCGAAATCCCGAAAGCTTCTAATCCCGGGATTCTGGATTTATACCGTCCGAGATTCGGGTGGCCCGATCCCGGAATTATCAGTCCTAATGGTGGTCAAGACCCACAGCTGAATTATCCGCCCGGCGCTCGTAAAAGCGTTATCACTATCATTTTCAGTAGCCTATTTGTCTAGCACCCTCGCCACTGGTGCGCACTTCGATAAAATTCACACTGTACGGTCACAATGCACGGCCAAAGGGCTGACCAAACGTCTGCAATACACTAGCTGTATAGTATTAAATGTTTTCATAGCATCACTATGACAGTGCCATGGTTCATTACTTCTCTGCACGTAATCAAAAGGGATAGTGGTGGGAGTAAATGAACTCCTTTGGTCGTCGGCGATAGTCCCGGCCCGTTCGAAAGGTCATGGTTCTTTGGCGAGCCTGAGCTTGAGACCTTTCATACGGACTTACGTTTTAGATGTCTCGTCACGTTATCGAGGTGGGACGTCGTTCTCTCAGGTTTCCTCTGCAGAAAGTAGTAAAATGTGCGCTCCGTGACGCACTTGTCGCACTGTATGTGTCACGTCACCTTGTTTAACGGTCCAGAAAGTGTGAGGTGGTAAAGTTTGTGTAAGTTCTGCTGTTCGCGCATCTCGGCCCCGGCCCACTGATACACACGGTACGTCCAAAGTCACTTGAGTATTTGACACTCGTCACAGGCACTCCCCACAGTCCGTCCCGCCGGCACGTCCGTCCCCGCGCCGGCGGCTCTCAGGATCTTCTCGTTGTTACCGCCTAGTGTCTTGGCCCCCGCGGTCGCGTCCCTCGCGCCTGGGGCAGGAAGAGGGGAACGCGAGCGCCTCTAAGCGGCGCTCGCCAAACTACGTTAACATTTACTGGCTAGCACATAGGTGTTATCTAACACCTCATTACACCTTTTTTAAAACAAGAATGCCCTCATAGTTGAACTATTCATTCATGACACAATGAACATTTCCATGACATAACGAACTTTTATTCCACGAACCTAACTTAGCGTGCACAGTAAGAAAGGCCATTAAATAATATCCGGCGAGTCATTGCAACTAACCTTAAACAACATGGTACCACAAACAATACAACTACACTTCGAATTATCGTTATGTACTCAACTACCGCAGCCATGGGCTAGATTGATCTGGAGGCCGGCTGACTCGGCGCCCCGCTGTTCGCGATGACCGTTTGAAGACGGTTACCCTACAGACACTGGGATCCGGGACCTGGACGGACACTGGGATCCGGGACCTGGACGCATTCGAATAGGGACTCGAACTTGGTGGTGATTTATTGGTTGACGCCAGGATACGGAGGGACAGTGGTGACGTGGGCCGCGGGATATGTGACCTGCGCGCCGGGATCGGACATGGGGTCGGTATCGCTGCTGTCGTCGGCTCGTCAGGCAATCAGCCGCGGTTTGGGCTGGTGTGGAATTCACAGCCTCAGCCACCTCAGGCGGCACCTAGCCACGTCCGTCCCCTGCATCACTGGCAGACACAAAAAGGTGCTGCTGGTTCAGTCGGTACAGCTCTCTGCTGTCCGTCCGTGGACATTGGTACGGCCGGTGCTGGTGTGACTGAGTCGGCACCTGGCGCTGCGACTGTGCCGTCTGGCTGTGCAGTACCGCAGCTGGCGCGGTCCGGTGAGTTGATGTTGCCGACGGCGACTGCTGCTATGCAGTGTCATCGTTACGCGGCTTCAGCTGATTGAAGTGGACCACCGGTGTCCTGCGCCTGCCGTCCCACAGCCGAATGCGATAGTTAAGCTCACCTGTTTGGGCAAGCACCACCGCTGGTTTCCAGGGCCGGACGACCTTGTGATACTCGCCTCGGGCGGGCACCTTCCGGAGCAGGTACACAGGTACACCGCATCACAGGTACACCGCATCACCGGTACACCGCATCACAGGTACACCGCATCACAGGTACACCGCATCACCCGCCTGGTAACAGCACCACCGCCGGTTTCCAGGGCCGGGCGAACTTGTGATACTCGCCTCGCGCGGGCACCTTCCGGAGCAGGTACACCGCATCACCCGCCTGGTAGTGGAACGCGTTTAACTTGCGGCCGTACAGATCTCGGTTCTCGGTTTGCGACGTTGGTCGCCTCTGTGCGTTATCGCGCGAAATTAGACGCTTTTTGCACCCCCAGGTGGAGGTGATCCACGTAGGCCGGGAGTGTCTCATGCCCTGTTTCAGCGGTCGCTCAGTACCCGGTGCTAGGCCTCGGCCGGCGGTCGCGGTTCTCGGCTGGCTCAGACGCTGCTCGGGTTGTGCCTGCCGCGGCGCCGGGCGGCCGGCTGTCCCGCTCTCTGATTGGGGCCGGGGCGACGGTGTCGGGCTCCACGCCAACGATGGACCGTCATCGAGAAGGGCCAGGGCAGGTGCGCTTCCTGTGGTAGCGAGGGCGGTGTCGAACACATGCACGGCTGCTTCGCCGTCTCGAGAAAGTCACATTTCTTTGAGGGACTAGGCTGTCTGGCAGCCGACCTCTCGGGCCGGCGGTGGCATACGGGACATGCCGTCGACATCGCCACGGCCAGACCGGGGCGGTGGACCACAGTAAACTGGAACTTGCTCAGTGTTTCCAGTCACCGAGCGAGCGTACCCGGAGGATCCCTGAAGTTGAGCAGCCCTTGAAGGCTGCTGTGGGCGGTTAGCAACGCAGAGTTCCGACCCCACAAAAAGTATCGAAAGTGCGTTGCAAACATTACCACCGCTAGACGCGCTCGTTTTGTCACCGCATGGTTTTCTTAGCTTTTTGTGAGGGTAGGGCTTGCGTAGCTTTCACCCTCTCTCCTCTGTTGCACCTGGAGAAGGCAGGCCCCTATCCCACGGTCGGATGCGTCCGTGATCGGGATGAAGGGCGCTGCGCGTCTTTCAAATCGAGGCAGGACCACCGTTGGTGCCGAGGTCAGCAGCTCCTTCAGCTTGATGAATGATGCTTTAGCCTCGGGCGACCAGAGAACTGACATATGTTTTTGCGATAGGTGCGTCAGTGGTGCAGCGACCTTGGCGACGTTGGTCATGTAGCGGAGAAAGTAACCAGCCAATTCCAGGAAGCTAAGCAGCTCCTTTTTTGATCTGGGAATTGGCCAGTCCATCACTCTCTGTACGTTTTATGGATCGGGAACTATTTCGCCTTTTGAGACTCGGTGACCCAGGCACGTCACCACTGGTCGGAACAGCTGGTATTTTGCCAGGTTTAGAGTGAGATCTGCGCTGTTACGACCTGCGCGAGACCTGCGCTGCTTGAGACGCTTAAGCACTCTCCGGGCGCTGCAGGACTTGACAGACCGAGTCGCCGTGGACAACGATGCAGTCGAAATATGCCAGACATGCCTTCGGCGCCGGTCCGTCCAGCACGATGTTGAGTAACCGGACGAACGGGCTCGGTGCCCAGGGGAGACCGTGCCTACAGCGCCGCCAGGCATACGGGCCCCAGGGCAGGAGTCTTGTCACTGTCCTCCGGCACGACCTTCATCTGATTATACCCAGACTTCAGATCTAGGATGCAGAACATGGAGGAGCCAGCCAGAGACTCCAGAACGTCGTCAACTCTAACGGCCGGACAGGCCGGGACCTGGTCCTGTTCCGGGACCTGGTCCTGTTCCGGGACCTGGTTGATACTGTTCACCTTGCGCATGTCGGCACATATGCGCAGTCCGGCCACACTGCGTTTGCGAAACACCACCACTGGACTAGCCCAAGCACCACTTCTGTCTTCTAGACGACTTTTTCCACCAAGTCATCGATTTGGGCCTTCACCTCGTCTCTGAGGTTGCATGCGTCTCGGTGGCTGCCTGATGGATGGTCGGCCGTTGGAATGGTGTGCTGCACCAGCGTGGTGAGCCCCACCCGTCCGTCAAACAGATGGTGATAATTTACCAACAATGATGATGCCCGGGACCTTTCCGACTCCGTCAGCTCCGCTGGTATTTCGATCGGCGGCATGTCGGGGCGTTGCTTGCGCTGAGCCCGCGCCGCATACGTTTGCTCGATCATCTTCTCTGTGTACATATTGGAAGTCGGAGTCCAGCGATCCAATTTAGTGTTTCCCGTATACCGTCATATATTGTGACAGATTTCTGAACACTACCGGAAGGGGCTGACCGGGCTGAACCTGCACTACAGCAGGTATTGTCAGCAGGTCCGTATCTCCCTCGCCTTCGACGAAAGCTGGACCCACAAAATATTCGTCATCAGCGTAACCTTCAATTACGTATTCCACCCCTGGCGGCACGGACCAGTCCTGCCTTACTACCATGCGGCAGACCGACAGACCCTCCCGGCCGGCTACGCCCTCACTCTGTCTTTGTCTGGACGGGTCGCCTCTGCTCACGCATGGCCCGCAGTACCTGACCCACGGAGGGCAGTGACCCGGCCGGGGTTGTTTTCACAGAGTCTGGGGTCTGAGTCAGCTGATGAGCCGGCGCCGACTGGGCCGGCGGTGGAAACACGAGGCGGCGGGACGCGACACCACTCAGACAGCGGTACCTCCGTTGTCTGACTGACCTGACTAGGACCTCCGTTGACTGACTGGCCGTTGGAAAAAGCCGGGACCGAAAATGCCCTCAGCGTCTCCATTGTGGTTGCTAATGAACACTGTTAAGTGGCCATAGAACTCGGGCGGTGCAAGTGTCACAGCGGCGAGTCCTTCAAGTCTGACTGGCGTTTTCAATACTGATTCGGCTGTGATGGTTTAGGGTGTGCGACAGCATTGGGAAATTTTCTAAACATGGCGTCTGATATGAGAGAGATAGAGGAGCAGGTGTCGACGAGGCAGTAACATGACACACCGTTTATCTTGCCAGCTACCGACAGACCTGCACTGGGGGAGACACCCGAAGCGGCGATCACTGCCGTCGTGCTGGAGTCCCCCCTGCCGCGTTTCCCGAGTTCATCGTTTGACGGCAGGCTTGTCAAAGGTGGCTCGGTCATTTGCAGCCGTGACACACTGCATTTCGGTGGCGACAGTCGGCTTGTAGGTGACCGGGGCACCACACGCGTAACAGCGTCGATTGCCCGCGTGGGGGAGTACCGGCGACCGTTGCCTCGGGACGGCGCGACTCGGTCTGCTGCATCTCCAGCTGAGAGATGCGAGTTAGAATCTGGTGTAGGGTGTCGTCAAAGGCGATCGTTCCTCCGTTGTCGCTGACTGCAGCAACCGGCTCCGATGGCAGAGCTTCAGCAGCCAGCAGGTGTCGCACCTTGATTACTGCCGCGGCATAATCGGCCATTCCTGCTGCAACGCGTGCGCCGCAGGATGGAACTGGAAGGGTCTGGGGCAGACGGATGAACAGTGGGTTTTTGCTGGGACCCCTCTGCCCCAATATCACCTTCTGTGGGTTGTGCGATAGGCTGACCAGGAATACATCGAAACTGGTGGCGGCCGGGTCAAATTTCAACGCGGCCCTGGGCAGAAAGTTGTTCCTTGTTGGCTTTGCGGCTGCTGGTTCGCTGATTGCCCATCCACCGGCAGCAGTGACGAGTCGGCGTCGGCAAGGCGGAGGGCAGGTCCTGGGCGGAGGCTGCGGCTTACTGAAACGACTGAGAACGGTCTGTTCTCTGGTGGAAGTGGTCACAACACAAGACCGTTCCGCGCGCACTGGGGAAGACCCGTGGCGATGTGGCTATGGTGGAACGAGCTCTGGTAGGCGCCGTCTGTTCAGCAGCGGGTGAGGCGTAATTGCTGACAGCGCCACTATGAATGATGAGCGCCACCAGCGAGCTCGGGCGGACTGAAACAGGTTAATGACGCTCCGGCGGCAGTAGTCATCACAAACATCGCGGTGAGTGGCTGAGCTCCACTGTGGTAGAACGAAACCGGGGGAGGGGGGGGGGGGGGGGGGAGCGCAGATGGCCAGCTGACCAGAGGCATGGGCTCGAATTGTTGTAAGATATAGGCTACACCGCTACCACCAATGCGAGTTCTGCTGTTCCGCTGTCTGGCCTGCAGCGCTCTGGTGCACACAGTACGTCCAAAACCAATTCTGTATTTGACACTGGTCACAGACACTCGTCACAGTCCGTCCTCACGTCGGCAGCTCTCAGGATCTTCTCCTTGTCATCGCCTCCTGTCTTGGCCTCCGCGACCGCGTCCCTCGGACGGGGCGCCTGGGGCAACAGGAGGGGAACGCGAGCGCTCTAAGTGGCGCTCGCCAAACTACGCAAGCATTCACTGGCTAGCACATAGGTGTTCTCTAACACCTTACAGTCGTGTTTTGCAGGTACGTTATTTGTTTTATTACATGACAAACATCATGAATGCCCATGACTTTTTAAGGTAATTCAGGGTCACAAACGTATGGGATAAGATCATGAATTTGCATTAAGTTGCTGTAACATGTCGTTTTACCATGGGCGTAAGTGGCTGGTATGCGTCCGAGAAAATGTAAGAGTAATTTAAATTTCAATATCACAACCGGGGTCTTCCGAATGTGAATCCAGTGCTCTACCAACTGAGCTAACCGGAAAGGACAGCTCAGGTGGCAGAGCACCCGGCTCGCACTCAGAAGACACTGGTTCGAATACCAGCGATTCGGAGGAAAAGTTCGGATTGTCGGCCTGTGACGCCTAGATGGCTGAAAACTAACCATCATTCAGTCCTTCGCAGGACGCTAGATCACCTACCGCCGGTCGGGGAGTTAGCGGGCTAAAGCTGATGTGCATAATGACACACCAGCCGATGACGAAACTCCGGACACACATGGTCTCAATCGTTCCGTAAAGCTGTCACTGTAGCGTTACTTTGCGACGCTGAGGCAGCAAAAACGAGCATTCACCCCGGCCTGATTCAACCTTACGGATCTAGCACGGGGAGATGCTTGAATTTGCCGGGGTCAAAGAGGTAGAGCACGTCAAGAGCCACCGTCCACCGTTCTTTCCTCCTGTGCATCAGTGGTAGGCACCGCACACCTCTCTTCCCCCCCCCCCCCCCTGCGCATCAGGAGTAGCCACCACCCACTTCCCTTCCATCCCGTGCATCAGAAGTAGCCACCACCCACTTCCCTTTCATCCCGTGCATCAGGAGTAGCCACCACCCACTTCCCTTTCATCCCGTGCATCAGGAGAAGCCACTACCCACTTCACTTCCATCCCGTGAACCAGGAGTAGCCACCACCCACTTCCCCTCCCCTCCTGTGCATCAGGAGTGGCCACCACCCACTTCACTTTCATCCCGTGCATCAGGAGTAGCCACCACCCACTTCCCTTCCCTCATGCGCAGCAGGAGTGGCATCGTCGGCGGTCGCGCTCCTAATCTGGCGACAGTGGCCAAACCACCGAAGCCGGCTAGGGCCATGACATACACACGCCACCGTTTCAAGCACGTTACAGCGCGTGTTTGCCTGTGGTTACCATTCCTCAGAGTTTCGAGCGTGACCGTGACGCTGTTGGTCTGGGGAGCACGCGCCACCTCCTGCCATGCCCTGCCCACTCCAGTGTTGTCCAATACGGTCTCTCGTGACCGCGATGCGCAGCCACCGTGAGGCGGCACCACGCCTCGGCCAAAGGACCGCGTTGGAGCGCGAGTTCGAGTCCCACTTTCGCCCGAAAGCCGTCCTCCACCGGGGGTGTGACGTCACCGACGCTGGATGTGTGACGTCACGGCCAAGCGGCGGCGGCCGGCGCCGTCCGCGGCGGCAGCTATTGATCGCCCAGCATGGCTGCCGTCCGGACTGGGTCGCTGCTGCTCCTGCTGCCCTGGCTGGGGCTGGCGCTGGAGACGGGCCAGTTCTCGCTGCTGATGCCACAGGTGGTGCCGCCCAAGGTGAGGTTACGCGCCACCAGCGCCGGCGCCACCGGCGAGGGGGAAAGGGGGGGGGGCAACTCCTCGGTTCGAGCCTCGGCACAGAGTCACACGGATCGTATGTCAGTTAGGCAATGTAGGTGCTAAATTTGACTCAAATTGTTTCGTGGGCACCATCATCACAGGCTTGCAAGGGCTGAAACATGTCCCGGTAACGCCATATACGTCAAGGAAACTGTTTCAGAGCCAACCATATGCCCGCATTTCATGCGCGTCACGAGGGTCAGGTGGTTGCCGATAATGCTGTTTATCGGGTGAGAGCATTTGAAGCTCATTTTGCCCAGGTCAAGGGGTTGTTGATTGCTGGGTGTGCACCGTGCAGATGCACTTTAAAGGTCAGACGTACCTTTGAGGCATTAATTGCTGGAGGCTGGGCGTCGTTTCAAGCCTGAAATTCAAATGAGCTGAGCCCATCAAAAACACTTAGGAACAAAAGACGCATCAGGTCGTTGCGTTCGCTCCTGTCAAATTGATATGTAACTTTTTGTCAAGAGTAGAACAGAGTCTCTTTACGCTGAATATTTTTGCAGCGCGTTTGGTCTTAACACCGCCCAATGGGAGATGAGCACCACGGGTTGGTCGTATATTCTTTATGCCTTTGCTACATTCATTCCTGTATGCGGTCTAGGCACTCTAACTGTGCCACAGTGATTTAGCCCAAATCGTTAAGGCTAAAGCTAGGCGAGAAACTGGTCAAATTTCAGTCGTTTCAGTTTTTTGTAGATTAAATCTGCTTTTTTAAATCGGAATTTTCTATGCGTTTAAACAAATGTAAGGCTTGATAATTTTTGGGTTGTCCCTGGTCCTTAAACGTCATGTCAGCACAAGCTGAGCAACACATGTTTAAGCGCTTACATATATGCGGCTTGGTGTGAAGAGATGGAGAGCAAATTTTGGGCGGTTGTGGGAGATGAAGATGGCAGGAGAACTAGGGCGTTTGGAGCTGGCCTGCCCCAGGAGGCCAATATATATAATTCAGAGGGACTAGAATTCTGGCACAACAAGCGTTAGGCGGCTCTGGAATGTGGAGCTGCCAGCTTATGTCACCGTTCTCAATGGGATATTCATTTGCCCTTAATCTTCACCCGTCGCCCGTCCGTCGCCCGGTCACTCGGTCCTAATGAGGTATTCATATGCCTTTAATCTTAGATCCAGATCACCAGCTTTGGCGAAATAACTTTTTGGCCAAATATTGTTTCCTTCTGTTATAGCTGATTCCCTTGGTGCGGCTCCAAGTCGGGAACGACGGTACCAGCTGCTATCGCAGTTGATATCACTGGTGCGGCTCCACGTCGAAAACGACGGTACCAGCTGCTATCGCAGTTGATGCCACTGCACTAACGCTACACCGGCTTACGGGGAATGAGAGGAGCGAAGGAGCGAAGTGAGCCCTCTGAACGGAGAGTGCCCAGTCAACCTCATGAGTGCATTGGCTTTAAGAGCCTGGGACCGGTTTCTGCAGCCACCCAGTCACCAATTACTCGCGTCAGTTTCCAGCGACTGTAGCACTAGAGGCTAGATTGCCTTCGGAATGGGGGCAGAAACCGAACCTAACACCAGCGCGCCTGTGCCGTGGATGTCGAGTAGGCGGGGGCCGAACTTCGGTCGTCGTTAGCTGGGAGCAAAGTGATGACAGTTGGGGCCTGTCATATGACAACTGGATGCAGTTATATTGGCATCTAGGTATCGTCATATGGCAGTCGAGTTCTGTCATATGACATCTGGATGCAGCTATAATAGCGTCAAGGTACCGTCATATGACAGTCGAGTTCTATCATATGACAGACGGATGCAGTTATAATAGCGTCTAGATATCGTCATATGACAGTCGAGTTCTGTCATACGGCAGCTGGATGCAGTTATAATGAGGTCTAGGTACCGTCATATGGCAGTCGATGTTTATTATATGGCAGCCAGACGCAATAACAATGGCGTCCAGGTACCGTCATATGACAGTTGAGTTCTGTCATACGACGGCTGGATGCAGTTATAATGGCGCCTAGGTACCGTCATGTGGTAGTCGATTTCTGTCATGTAACAGCCGGATGCAGTTATAACGACGTCTAGGTACCATCCCTTAGCAGTCGAGTTCCGTGATAGGACAGCTGGATGCAATGGTAATGACGTCTAGGTACCATCATATGACAGTCGATGTTTATCATATGGCAGCCAGACGCAGTCTTAATGGTGTCCAGGTACCATCATATGACGGTCGGGGTCTATCATGTGGCAGCCGGATGCAGTGATGATGGTGTCGAGGTACCGTTATATGGCAGTCGTACGTTGTATGTGGTAGCCGGCTCCCATATCCCAATGGGAAAGTGAATGTCTGCAAATGTCTAGTGATAAATTGATCCATTATCCGTAAGAGGCCAACAATTTATGACAAGTTCTTCACACACAACACGCATTTCGAAGCATTTGTAGCAATTCAACCGAGTGTCTTAATTACCCTATCGTTTTCTGTCCATCTTTCCACTATACTCGTCTACATTTCATTGCGCTGGAAAGGATGACCAATAATTTAAACAGAGTCATGCTGACATGTTGTGCACGATGGTTGTGAGTTAGACAAGCAGACTGCTTATCATGCTGTGCTACTTACAGCAGCCTCAGTGATTTCGGAGGGAGTTCGTAACGGACGCAGCCGTCCGCCGTACATGACGACACCCGTCCTGGAGCGTGACATTGGCCGATGGAGGTCCCGGAGCGTAACATTGGCCGATGGAGACAAGCCAGCCGTCCTAGGCCGACCATCTGGCAGAGGTGGTTCCCTCTCGTCCGCGGCCCGGACGGAGCAGTGCGTCCGCCCGCGTCCGCAGCCATCCCCCTCATCCGGAGCTCCGCGGCCGTCGCCACAGACCTGACGCCAGCCTGCACCGGCGTCCTCGCTGCATTTTCTTCCCCCCCCCCCCCCCCGCCAAATATAATCCCCATGCCTTTCACGTCTCCATCCCCTAACCGGTTCAAATGTCTCCCTGCCTTCCACGTCTACAATGTTCCCCAGATCACCATGCCTCCCGTTTCTCCCATCCTCGTGACCCTCCCCCATGGCCTTCCCGCGGGGCGTATCCCGCGTGGGCGCTGCAGTCTCCGTGTCGTGTCGCTCGTGTCGTATCGCTCCTAGACGACGTGCCTCTGCCCGCGAACTGGCCCGATTTATTCGATATCGCGGCACTCGGGATAAGAGAAAATGCGGGTGGAGAAAGAGAGAATCAATGACGCCGAGCACGGCCGGTCACGACCGCGCCTGGGCAGCCGCGATCCATGAACACCAACACTCGACTGCCGTCATCGTCCCATTGTCGTCTAGCACACTCATTCGTTTCCAATTGGCGCAGTCACCGCCAGGCCAACTTTCGATCAGAGGGAAAGCTTACCGAGATAAGAGGGCTCTAGAGGCGGGACCATCACCGAGAAATGCAGGCGAAACTAAAACACAAAAAAAACATCACGAAACAAGTGACCGGCGAGATAGGCGGCGCAACAGCGTGAGCACAGCTGAAGGAAACAATCTCTGACAGCTCGGAGAAAGATGGACCAAAAATATTAATGTAGGCGGTAAGGGAAAAACATGAGGGGAGTTTTGTTTAGTCTGTGCGCCACAAATCCATACCTCCTAATCTATGTAAAGAATCGCATAAGAAGTCATTCGAGGCATAAGTCTTGAACGTACTGGACTGTTTTCTAAAGGTGGCCATGTGTGGTTACAGGTCTCTTGCCACTAACTCGGGAGCCATGAACGGGATGCAATCTCAGCGCAGGTGCCGCTCAGGAGCGCTGTGACGCCCAGCCCAAACTTTTCTACAAATCGCACGTGCGCCAACTTAGAGCGAGCTCTGCTCGTAGACAGTCGGGTTCTTTCTTTTCAAACGACCTCGAAATGGCAGTTTGCGAAAAGCTGGCTAGGTTGCCGGTAATCAGTGTGCATCGACGCACCCGGTGTCTATTACGAAACGTGTGGGGCGCCACCTGCGACCGGTGATTCAGCCACTGCCGCCGCCGGCCGGCACGAAGCGGCCGCGCGCCCGCACGGCACGGCGTACGGGATGCCAGCCTGGACGCCCTCGCGCCCGTCCGCCACGTGTTGTATTCGGGTCAAGTACTGAGTCGTTCATAAAGTGGGGAAAACTGCGTTCCCATGAGAAGCTGGGCAGTACGTCAGACGTTTTATGATGCGCCAAAAATTCCTTTTCGTCCGTTTCACGCCATATCGCCACATTTATGTGCATTGCGCACACTTGTATCATCGAAGAAAACTTCTGGCTCGGGGTGTGGCATATGAAAGCACCACCGACTTGTGTCCTCTCTATTGGCAAACGCCCATGACCTATCAGTGGGCTTGTACACAAAGGAACTTCAAGTGTTGTCAGTAGTCCAAGTAAGCGTTGTAGTCCACGTACCTTACTACTTTATTATTGCTGTAAAAATCAAGTGCGAGGATAAGTGATGCACCGTAAATACGTACTCAGCGTGCAGCAAGGTTGAGAAGTTGGCGCTGGGATGACGGTTCGCTATATAGAAAACTTGGCGGATTCCATGTTAACACGGTTCTGTGGTGGTTAGCAGTGGGTAAGTGCGCGCGGTGGGTTGTAAGGCACCTGAACAGGCATGCGGGCCGCGCTTTACCCCTGGCGCGGACGGTGAGAGCTGCCCATCCCGCTACCGGGAGCACCGTACTCTGTGACGGCCCGCTGTACCCCTGGCACGGAAGGTGAGAGCTGCCCATCCCGCTACCGGGAGCACCGTACTCTGTGACGGCCCACTGTACCCCTGGCATGGACGGTGAGAGCTGCCCATCCCGCTACCGGGAGCACCGTACTCTGTGACGGCCCACTTTACCCCTGGCATGGACGGTGAGAGCTGCCCATCCCGCTACCGGGAGCACCGTACTCTGTGACGGCCCGCTGTACCCCTGGCATGGACGGTGAGAGCTGCCCATCCCGCTACCGGGAGCACCGTACTCTGTGACGGCCCGCTGTACCCCTGGCATGGACGGTGAGAGCTGCCCATCCCGCTACCGGGAGCACCGTACTCTGTGACGGCCCACTGTACCCCTGGCATGGACGGTGAGAGCTGCCCATCCCGCTACCGGGAGCACCGTACTCTGTGACGGCCCACTGTACCCCTGGCATGGACGGTGAGAGCTGCCCATCCCGCTACCGGGAGCACCGTACTCTGTGACGGCCCGCTTTACCCCTGGCATGGACGGTGAGAGCTGCCCATCCCGCTACCGGGAGCACCGTACTCTGTGACGGCCCACTGTACCCCTGGCATGGACGGTGAGAGCTGCCCATCCCGCTACCGGGAGCACCGTACTCTGTGACGGCCCGCTTTACCCTGGCATGGACGGTGAGAGCTGCCCATCCCGCTACCGGGAGCACCGTACTCTGTGACGGCCCGCTTTACCCCTGGCATGGACGGTGAGAGCTGCCCATCCCGCTACCGGGAGCACCGTACTCTGTGACGGCCCGATGTACCCCTGGCACGGACGGTGAGAGCTGCCCATCCCGCTACCGGGAGCACCGTACTCTGTGACGGCCCGCTTTACCCCTGGCATGGACGGTGAGAGCTGCCCATCCCGCTACCGGGAGCACCGTACTCTGTGACGGCCCACTGTACCCCTGGCATGGACGGTGAGAGCTGCCCATCCCGCCACCGGGAGCACCGTACTCTGTGACGGCCCACTGTACCCCTGGCACGGACGGTGAGAGCGGCCCGTCACGCTACCGGAAGCACCGTCCTGTGGGCGTCCGCCCGGCCGGCGAGACGTCGGGTAAAAGGCAGGCGGCTCTGGGAGAGTGGCCCAAATCATCAGCGGGACGGCGCCGTAGCCAGCGGTGGCCCAGCTGGACCGGGCGAAACTGGTTCTGGCTCAACCTGCCATGGACGCCGACCGGCTGGTCCTGCCTTCGTCCTCGGCTGACGGCGTACACAAACAGGGGATGCCTTGAGCGGATTAGCCAATCATTCGTGTCAACGGCAGGGCATGTCCTGTTCGGGTCACCGTTCGGTGTCAAGTAATGGTAGGCCGGACCCCTGTGAGCAACGTTTGGGGGTCACAGCACGAGCTTCGGCCGAAACTGACATGGCCTTTGTCTTTCACAGCCGGAAACCTACTTCTGCACGTCCGTCAGACTTTTGGATGACAAGGACCAGTATATCGGTAAGATTTGAACAGATGCATCGCTACAATGGCGAGTCGTTACGTGATGCCACTGGAATCCCTTTCTCTTGGTACTCGCTGTCGGGGCATGGACAGGGTCACTTTAGTTTCAATAGGCGCGGGTCGCCTTCGCGGGCATTTACATAACATACTTCTTGAAGGTGACAGGTGTATTCAAGAAAACACATCAGTGTTTTTGAAAAACAGCAGGACAAAGCGAGTTTTTCAGACACGACAATGAGTGCTTTCACCTCGTCTTTCTACAGACTGCATTGAACTCCCCTAAGAGATACACCGCTGAAGCTGTTCCTGAAGACCTCTGATCAGCAGCAAGAAAGCATTTCATTTAATTCCAAAAAGCCGTGCAGGACTAAAGTCGTACCAATTCCACGGGTGATGACCTGACCACCGCGTTCGTCGCCGCCGCTCCCGCACAAGCACACACCAAGCGGTCTGTCGGTGCGCGCCTCCCGGGTCGGGTCGTCCGCACCGGGGCCCAATCTGACCGCCATCAGCGCGGCGTCCGCCCCGTCGCGTGGTCGGGCAGTTGGCGGACCTTCCGGGAGAGCAGAGCGGCCAGACGCCTCGGTCAGCCGGCGCGGCGAGTGTCCGACCGCTGACGCCGTGGAAAGCGTTGGCGCCAAATACCACCTGTTTGCTGTCGTGTTTGGCGGGAACGCGCTGTGCACAGCCCGCTGTTAACGGCGTTGACCTGGCCGCTGTTTACTCTGAGCACGCGGCAGTTTCCTCCGTCACGGCTGGGTGACGACAGACCACGGAGCAGTGACGCGCTCACCCCTCGGTCACGCCTCTGGGGGTTTCGCCTGCGCAAGATCGCTGAGTCCACCCCAGCCGTGCCGCCGCTGTCGGCCCATCGGACACCTGCGCCGAGGAACAGTCACGACAGATCAGCGATGCTGGGCTGCCGTTTCAGGTCATGGCGATGCTGTAGAATATGCCGCAGCCTCTTCACCAAACTCGAATCAGTCGTGAATTCTTATAAGATATTTCACTTCGGACCGTTGACATCTGATCATAAAATCAACATCAACACCGAAACTGACTTGTGACTGATCACTATTTGTTGCTGTTGCGGTGCGAATGTAAGTGCAATCATAGGTGCATCGTACTTCTGGCAATTTGCGTTCGTCTATCATATATATATATATATATATATATATATATATATATATATATACATATATATATATATATATATATATATACGATAGACGAGGACGTCGACGATAGGAGGAGGATAGACGACCTAGATAGATAGATAGATATATATATATATATATATATATATATATATATATATATATATATATATAGATATGATATGATATATATATGATATATATATATATAGATATATACATATATATATATATACATATATATATATATATATATATATATATATATATATATATATATATACATATATATATCTCTCTCTCTCTCTTTCTCTCTCTCTCTCTCTCTCTCTCCTCTCTCTCTCTCATCTCTCTCTCCTCTCTCTCTCTCTCTCTCTCTCTCTCCTCCTCTCTCCTCTCTCTCTCTCTCTCTCTCTCTCTCTCTCTCTCTCTCTCTCTCATTATCATGGCGCGAGTTCGCGTGAGCCTGCACCTGGCGACCTGGTGGGAAGGTCAGACTGTACCCTGGCCCTGCTACTGTGACGACGCTCCCATTCAAAGCCCCGCCAACGGTGACGAACGGGCCGCTGTGATAACGGTGCGAGCGATTGGTATTCAGCGGCAGCATCCAGGGGAAGAGGCGTGAGGGGACTCCGTATCGTTCACGTGGCGGTCGATGGTCGGTGGCTCACATGCGGCTGCGTCGAGGCGCTGTATTTTTGTCGACAGTTCGATAGAAGGCATCAGGGTCGCTGATGTTTCTGCCGCTTGCGGCGAAATGTCATGTTTGCGGCGCGTGGTGGTCGAGACAGCGAGAGAGCGAGTGAGCGGCTCGCAAAATGTTGAGCGTACCTGGGTGTTCATATAGATAAAGTGGACCACGTCCGCATAGGTCGGCGTTCAAAAGCTTTGTGGCGGATGTTCGCGCGTGAGCAAACGTTTTAAGCAGCATGATCTCGCTTTGGCTAAATCCTTTGACTGCACGCCACGACAGCTCGACGTTGCACACGTTCAAATGCAGTTTGCATGTATTTAGTCGCAGCCAGTGCTCTCGCGACCACAAAGCGGTAAATAATGCATTTATGATGGCCATTGTGCTCCGCAAACCCGCCTATCCTAGTGTGTCCTGGACACACAGACCTGGTGTACACCTCGCACATCACTGAATGTCGTTCTCTCCACAGCCTCCACATGCAACGTATTTTCCCTCTCTGACGCTATGACCGCATTTGGCTCCCGGTCCCGCCTGTAATGGCATACGCCCCAACTCCACCTTTCCGGCTTTACACGTTTCCCGCTGCCCCGCTTTTTCCGGAGCACGTCCTCAGAGGCGTGCGGCACGCCGCTGGGGGAGCATCACAGGGAGCAGCTCCCTGCGATGGCGGACGTCGCCGTGTTTCCCAGGAACCCGTCAGCATCGATTTATGATCCAATAACGTGCCTATTTTGCGTCATAGCCAACTTCCCAATGACAGCGTGGCGTCGGCCGATGGTTAAAAACGGCGGCCCCGGTCTGCTGCAGTGGGCTTCGAGCCGAATGCCACCCAGAACACTGCGCACCATATGCTCCTGTACGGCTGCGAGCGGCCGGGCACTGATGACGCTGTCTGGAGCTGCGGGGACATGGCCGTCAACGACCCCAGCAAGAAGTCGGGTCCCATCTGCCGCGGTGCCTCACAGGTCAGCTGGGATCAGTGGCTCTCGGTCACAGGTCAGTCAGGGTCAGCGGCTGTCGGTCACAGGTCAGTCGAGGTCAGCGCCTATCGGTCCCAGGTCAGTCGGGGTCAGCGGCTGTCGGTCACAGGTCAGTCGGGGTCAGTATCTATCGGTCACAGGTCAGCCGGGGTCAGTGGATATCGGTCACAGGTCAGTCGGGGTCAGCAGCTCTAGGTCCCAAAACAGTAGGAGTCAGTGGCCACTCACCCAGCTTTATTGTATTCCAAGAGCACGGATCCACTGCAAACAAGGTTGCGCTTTCACGATTTTTACGTGTATCATTATCCTAGTGCAGAAGATAACACACAAAGTCCCCACCGAGCGCTGGGATAGTTCCCCGCCGTGACCCGGATGCTCCGCGGCGGGCGGCCGCAGAGCGTTAGGCTTAAGTACCTGCCGCACCTCCGGGCCCGGCTGCCCCAATTACCGCGAGCTGCAGGCCACGGTCCTGCTAACCGCTGCACGCGCTGACGCCACCCTGCGGCCTCCCGGTCCACTTCTGGCCGGCCGTGTTGGCGTAGAGGATCAGGGCCCGCTTCTGGCCGGCCGTGCCGCTGTAGAGGATCAGGACCCGCCTCTGGCCGGCCGTGCCGCTGTAGAGGGTCAGGACCCGCCTCTGGCCGGCCGTGCCGCTGTAGAGGATCAGGACCCGCCTCTGGCCGGCCGTGCCGCTGTAGAGGGTCAGGACCCGCCTCTGGTCGGCCGTGCCGCTGTAGAGGGTCAGGACCCGCCTCTGGCCGGCCGTGCCGCTGTAGAGGATCAGGACCCGCCTCTGGCCGGCCGTGCCGCTGTAGAGGGTCAGGACCCGCCTCTGGCCGGCCGTGCCGCTGTAGAGGATCAGGGCCCGCCTCTGGCCGGCCGTGCCGCTGTAGAGGATCAGGGCCCGCCTCTGGCCGGCCGTGCCGCTGTAGAGGGTCAGGACCCGCCTCTGGCCGGCCGTGCCGCTGTAGAGGATCAAGACCCGTCTCTGGCCGGCGATGCTGGCGTGGAGGACCAGGATCCGTCTCTGGCCGATCATGCTGGCGTAGAGGATCAGGGCCCGCCTCTGTCCGGCAGGGTCGCTGTAGAGGATCAGGGCGCTACATATAATGAACAAGCTGCTGCCGAAGGCGTGCTGTGCTTGTTGAATACTTTGGCTCGATAACTTAAATTCATAACATTACGCACCCTTGAAGATCACTGATCTTTACACGCATTACATACGTTACATGCTTTACATGCATTACACTCCACTTGGAAGACTTGCTGGTGATCGTGGACGTCATTGTATTTCAAAGATCCATATTGCAAGGATGGGATCAGTATCGGCCATATGCAGGCTTTGAAGCAGCCAGCATTGATATTCGCGTCAACTGCATGGTCGATGTCTACCGTCGTCGTAAAGGTGACACATGTAAATGACACCGTGGCCAAATCGAGTTAGTTAGACGCATTGACCGATTCAGAGGAAATAGCGCACTTCTGAGGCGTAAATGGCAGTTTTTGCTCACGTTTTGAGAAGATACCACTCAGAGCATAAGACTGCTCATCATTTGGACAGAGCGGCACGTATTTGGCAGTGACTATCAAATATGGCAAAAACAACTCGCAATGTTGTCCTTGGAGATCGCACATATATGCGCGCAGTGAGCTTGGTTCGTCTCGTTTGGCAAGCCCTCATGGCATTCACCCCGAAAGTGAGCATGCCTACTTTTTTACTGCGGTAACGGTCTGTAAATAACCGGACATTAAATGACGGGCGACGGGGATGCACGTAGTGGTAACTGGATACCAATGGTGACTTTGTACAGCGCCGGGCGACGCTGCGATTAGATCCGCTCTCTAGACGTACCATCAGATTTACTGCACTGCTCGGGATAAGTGCCGAATAGCATGATCAACCACAAATCAATGGATGCGGTGACTGGTGTACGGTGCATACTAAGTCATGATGGAGCAGTTCTGCGGGGGAGGTGGAGAGCGAATAGAGCGCGGAATGACCAAGAATGAGCGTGCGGCCGCGCGGAAACGCTACTCCCGACCTGATTTACCGCCCCCAAACCCCTTGCCTCAAACCCTACAATTATAAATCGGGATGCAGGGAGGCTGTCAATTCCTGCGGGTGCTAACCCCGCGCGTGCTAATTCCAAGAACCCATTTCGCTATGCAGCGACATTTGTACATGTATGTTTCTTTTTCATGCTAATGGTCAAGATGTACATCTGCAGCTTTTGTGGCTATACGCAGGTGATCTATGCCTGGGCAAAGAACGCGCCGAAGCTGATTCTTCCAAAGGGCGTGGCCTTCCACGTCGGCAAGAGCACCGGCCTGAAGTACCTGACGCTGCAGGTCCACTACGCCGACGTCTCACCCTTCAAAGGTCACTTCCGACACGGGAACCGTACCATGCTGGGCTCTAGGTGATGTCGAGGGCACCAGGCACCAGACACCAGGTGGTACCAGGCCGTATGAGAAGTCCCGTCACGTGGACAAAATGCATGACCTGCACTGTCCACTGACGCAGGCTGCCACGTTTCCAGGTCATTTTACACTCACAGTTTCACTCGGAGATATTAGAGATTCGGGGGAGAGATTTAGCCCGGGCTGTTTGCTGTTGTGCACGGTCACCACGATGATACATGGAATGGACTGCGCATGCAGAAGCGCTTGTAAATTATAAATGCAGGAAGCGTGGAGCACAGCCGTTTGAAACATGTAGATCCTGGATTGACGCTCACCGAAAACACTCTGTCCGCTGTTTCCAGACGGGAAAACAAAGGATGATTCGGGAGTCTTCCTCACGTACACCGAGACACCGTGAGTATCATTTGTTTCCTGCAGCTCATTAAAGTGCGGAAGTCAGAGTTTCTCAAGCGCAGCAGTGAGCTGCGGCCTACCATGAGCTATTTTCTCCAGCGATCGAGGGCAGCGTGCCAGAGGCGTGTTGCATGCATGTTCCGCGTTGTCAAACACTAGAAGCATCCCAATAGCTGCAACGATTGAATAATCTTGCTGTCATCCCGCATATGATAAACTGAGAAATCTGGTCGCCCGACGTGAAGCCGTGATGCTGTGCTGCATTTGCTACCGTTGATGGCTTCCGTTCTGGTTTGGTAGAAGGCTTGTATTTCGCAGTGGCGAGTGTTGAGCGGCGGTGTTGCGCTGGCTCACTGTCAACCGAGCCGAGAAAAGCACGGGTCCATGGCCCTCAGGGTCTCGTGGAGGACCGTTTTTGCCCTCGCCATGAACTTTCCTCTCGACCGCACGCGACTGCAGACTCGCCAGCGTTTTCACTGTGTGAAAGTGCCGTGTCATTATCCCGGGCATGTCGCCTCTTCACCCACTCAGTTCCTATCACAGGATGCCGGTCACCGTTACGGCGCCTTCGCATGACGCTAGCCGATGGTGGCTGCATGCTTATGTGATGTGTGGGCATTAACCGCTGCGCAAGAATGCGACGAGATGGTGCGCTTATCCAGTACTACGTCGGGGCCCCCGCGTGTAAGCGACATGAAGCGAAGCAAATCATAACTGCGCTTTGTCACTCATCCCACCGGGCATGGCAAGCAGATTGGACTGGCGAGCAGCTCCCATCCCACGCGTGTGAAAAGTTTGTGTTACGTTACGTTACGCCCATGACCGTGCTGTGAGCAGCTCCTTAGACAGTGCGCAATGCGTACAGAACAAGCATGTGCAAAAAGGCCACGTGTTTTCTGTATGCGAGTAGCTGGTCCGGCTCCAAAATGCATGTGCAGTGGTAAGCGGGGAGCGAACATCGTGAGGACTTGGCTGAGCCCTGAGCCTGCGAAGTTGTTTAACAGCCTGTCAACCGTCATGGAGAATACTAGAGACGTGTCGCGCTTCAAGGCTAATCCAATTAACGGTTTGCTCTGAGGTGATCAGCCGCGCTAAACGCGCGCCACTATGCTGATTTTTGCATGATGAGCTGTTTCTTTGGATTGAAAGCCTGTTCTCTCTATCCTCTGTCTTTTCTTGATTTGGACCCATCAAAAGCCTGGAATCATTCAAGGATGTAAACACGACAAACTGAGTGACCAGAACCCGTTGAGCCAGTGCAGTGTCGAGAGTGTCACGACTCCATGCGCGACACAAGTCCGTGTGGCCTGCCGGGTCGCTTGCTGTGGCGCCTTTTTGGATGCATGGGGACCGAGGTCCTCCCGGCGTTAGCATGGCCAGTTTCGGAGGTCCTCGGAACGCGTAGGGTGCTGGAGAGTTGTTGGCACACCTTGGCAGGTCCGCGGGAAGGACCCGCGGGCCGCAGAGAGGAGAGAGAGAGAGAGAGAGAGAGAGAGAGAGAGAGAGAGAGAGAGAGAGAGAGAGAGAGAGAGAGAGAGAGAGAGAGAGAGAGAGAGAGAGAGAGAGAGAGAGAGAGAGAGAGAGAGAGAGAGAGAGAGAGAGGAGAGAGAGAGAGAGAGAGAGAGAGAGAGAGAGAGAGAGAGAGAGAGAGAGAGAGAGAGAGAGAGAGAGAGAGAGAGAGAGAGAGAGAGAGAGAGAGAGAGAGAGAGAGAGAGAGAGAGAGAGAGAGAGAGAGCTGCTACTGGACGCCGAGGCCGCTGCAGAAATAATGGCTGCTACAGTGTGTTGAAGGTCCGATCACGTGTGTATGCCGTCACCTAGACACACGTAGCATCTCCCATTTCCTTCCAGCAGCCAGTTCTCTGCACACGTGTGTGTCCTTACATACTCAGGCGGCACATACGATATTGACGGCGTGGCCCGAAACTCCACCGACATGCTGGCAAGTTAGCCTCGTGTCCTGCCTCTACCGCCCTGTAAACAGTGCTGATTTACATCAAGCTCCGCACACTGGCCTGCTTCGAGTCCGGCACATTGCCAGGCCTTTAGAGAAAGTCGGCTTAACACAGTTCGACTAGTTCGTTTTGCACAATATGCAGACCGTTTACTAAGTTGGTGGCTTATTTACAGGCAGCCGAAGGCGGCAGGCGTTCTGCTGCTCGGTACTGGCGGCTTCATCTTCCCCAACACAGTCGACTACATGGAGACGGCGTGCGACGTAGAGGAGGATAAGGTCATCCACCCGTTCGCATTCCGAACCCACACCCACGCACTGGGTAAGCTGCCGAACCCATACCCACACACTGGGGTCGGATGACGGACTCACACCCACGCTCTAGTTAAGCTACCGAACCCACGCCCACACACTGGGTCAGCTGACGAACTCACACCCACGCTCTGGTTAAGCTACCAAACCCACGCCCACACACTGGGTCAGCTGACGAACTCACCCACGCTTACCGGACCCACGCCCACACGCTGGGTCAGCTGACGGACTCACACCCACGCTCTGGTTAAGCTATCAACCAAAACTCACGCATTCAGGTCCGACGTTTTTGTCTTCCTTTGTGCGACCCACGAAGCCATCATCCGAGGAAGAGCTTTCTCCCTGTCGCGAGGATGTGAATACCCTTGGCGTGTTGTATGTCACTCTGGACCAACACCGATGACAGAACACCACCGGTACGACAAACAAACTGTATGGGTCATCTACATTGATTCAAATTCCAAAGACAAACGCTTAGCTCATTGCTGCTCCAACAACGGCCGGACCAGCTCCAGACCATCCTGCAGGTATCGCAATCAGTAATGCCAGACTAAGCAGCCACGAGGCATCGGAAGGTGTCGGCCGAGGCGCGCAGGCGGTCCGCAGAGCACACTGTCGTCACCGGTGCCGGCTCTTCCCGGGCGAGGTGGTCTCTGGCTGGGGTGCCGGCCGAGGCGCGCAGGCGGTCCGCAGGGCACACTGACGTCACCGGTGCCGGCTCTCCCCAGGCGAGGTGGTCTCTGGCTGGGCTGCCGGCCGAGGCGCGCAGGCGGTCCGCAGGGCACACTGTCGTCACCGGTGCCGGCTCTCCCCAGGCGAGGTGGTCTCCGGCTGGAAGGTGCAGCCGAAGGACGGCGGCTATCAGTGGACGCTGATCGGCAAGATGAACCCACAGCTGCCTCAGATGTTCTACCCGGTGCTGGATGACATCACACTCACCAAGGGCGACATCGTGGTACGCTCACCAGCTGTCTCCAAGTGTACCTCGCGATGTTCACATGCAGACGTTCATATGAAACACACCCGTCAACCTAGGCCTTAATGGGCGAACTGCATGCAAGGCTACACACCCGTCAACCTAGGCCTTAATGGGCGAACTACATGCAAGGCGAACATCGTGGCAGAGCTGCCAAACCGCTTCCAAAGGTGCCTCAAGACCTATTTCTGACGCCGCCCACCCGGCATACCGCCCGCTGGCGCAGGCGGCGCGCTGTCGTCGGTCAGTCCGACGCTCGGCCAGGGGTCGGTAGGCCCTGGAGATAAGCTCGGTGCTCGCGGCGCGTCGACATGCCCGGCTGACCTAAGCGTGCTTGGCAGGCTGCGCGATGCACGATGAACAACTACCGCTCCAGGATCACAAGAGTCGGGTAAGAGCCGCGCCCGCTGCGGTGGGAGAGGGGTTGTAACGTCTCCGGGGTGGGCGCCTGGGACGGGCGTGCCGCACCGGGCTGGTGGTGGGCACGCCCAAGCTTGTGTTCTGTTCACTGTGTTGCACTGGTCTTGCTTGACAGGGCTGCACTTCTGTGTAGAAAATCTGCTACTTATGAATGGTTTGGTGTTGTACGTTTGCCCTTCGTGTAAACCATGCACCGTGGTTAACCTCCCAGTTGTGGCCAACTTTGTGTGATTGTTTTGTTCGTTGGCTTGCTTTAATGTGTTGTGTCCGCCTCATGAATCAGTGCCTTGCTCGTTGCATGCCGGACACTTCGATGAATGAGGAGTGGGCATACATTTGAACCATTCCATTCCATTTGCTATGGCTCAAAACAAACACCAGCAGCATGCTAGACGTGCCCGTGGGCTCAGGGTAATGGTGCCCACGCGCGATGTCCTGCATGCTAGACGTGCCCGCGGGCTCAGGGTGATGGGGTGATGGTACTCACGCGCGGTGTCCTGCATGCTGCACTTGTCTTCACTGAGCTTGCTGCGGTCTGCTGCTGCCCTCGATTCGCAGCATCCGCAAGCAGTTTGCAACTTTCTCTCGTCACACAGCTGCACCCGCAGGTAGCAACAGACGCTCTCCTCATGGGATTCAATAGCCAGACTGCTTCAAATGAGGCCTCCCGCACGGCACCCTCCACGGGCGGAGTTCTTAATAAGACAGGCTCAGGGCAAGCCACGGCAACGCTACGGCAGACGCCAATGGTACATATGCGGGTCCGGCGCGTGGCAGAAAGCACGTCTCTCTGTGCTGTAGGTGGCGTCCGAACGCGGCAGAAGGCCGACTCGCTCGGCTTGCTCGTAGTATGCCCCCCCCCCCCCTGCGACTTGGCGCCACGTCGGCCAGGCCACTGAATTGCGTCGCGCCATTTTTATGGGTCGTTTAAGCCATCATTTGGCAATAAGGTGCGTTCTCGGCCTCGCTCCCCGGAGCTGCTTGCTGGGCTGCGTGTAGACGTCCTTCGGCGAGTCTCCGATCTAAACCCATCACGTTGTACATGTAGGCGCCTCGTGTCCCGGAGGTGTCTCCTGCGGGGTCTTTTTGCTGGTTTTACACCGCATCCGATCAGGCAAAACGAAATGCGCGAGGCATTGGAAAGCCGGCCACAGCAAGTTTTTTGAAAGTCATGCGCAGGGAATTGGAACGGGTTCTCAGTAAGCGGTTTGTCCGAGGCAGATGACGTGGCTGGACTAGGTTTTGGGTCGCCGTTCTCAGCCACCATGTCCCGATCGGCCGTTGACTTAACTGGGCTCCAAGCGTTGTACAACGGCTGTTACCCAGTGGTACTGTTCTGACAATACGGCGGAAAGCCCAAACAGGGGGAGGAAGGAAGGGACAGCTGGCCAAATAGACATTTTACCATGGATGCTACGGGGTTTCATGGGAAGCCATGGAACAAGTGTCTTTCTTAGAACACGTTTGCAGCCCAGGTGGGTCGCTGAAGTCATCCAGTGGGAAAATTGGAAACCGAAAGAAAGTCAGTTGGTGTCGTGTGTTCTTACAGCCCTGTCTACCCACATATACGCTCAGCTGATACAGACCATCTTCATGCCTATGTCTCTCGGCGATGTCATACATGCTCGCTTGTCCTCGCAAGCTTGTGTTCCATGCCGTTTCAGCGGGCCGATGCCGACTCGCTCACAACGCAGGGGGTTAATTCCATCTGTCACTGCAAACAGCTCAGCCTAACTTGGAGTCCGCTTTGATACCGACTCTAGTAGAAAGGCAGGCACGATTACGGGGTCAATCCCGATGAAGTCGATTGTGACAAAATCAACGTAGAAAATGATCCAATTCATGGTTTTCATAAAGCCGCAATACGCTGTTTAATTTGAACACAGTGCATGCAAAGCCGCGCGTCCGACCATGCATATATGTCCTGTATCAGTATATATGATAGTTAAATTGATATTTGAGTCGACTCAAGGGCCGCCTGGTCAGCTCGAACGTGGCCAACTCACGAGAAACTGCAAGGCGATCAGTTCCAGCCGGATCGAATCAGCCTTCAGTTCCGGGGTGGATTCTTACTTCATCTGCGCAGACATCGAATTGTCTTGGAAATAAACTTCGATGGCGCGTCCGAATCCTCGATTGAATTTGTAGCTTTGTATCGCGGCAGAATCCCGAAATCTGCCCCGTAAAAAACCGCCCGCCTGCAAAAGGAGAACTCAGATAAAAAGGAACGTTCAAATTGCGCTTTCCAAGAAGCTATCTAGCATCTGAACATTTTAAGGCCACGCTATACCACACATTCACTGCCTTCATGTCAGAGTGCTTTGCGCTTTCAATTCACTGCATGGAATCTATGCTATCTGAATGGCTCGGTCGGAACAAGCTTTCAATTCACTTTTGACACTCGCGAGCCATGTTCTCCCAGCATGGACTCGTAATCCACCGCAATCTCTGACGTTGGCCAGGCCAGCGGACAAGACGGCACAAAGCCCAACGGACCTCCGGGCCGGTGGCGAAGGCTCATCTGACGAGCGCGTCCCTCTGACCTTGCAGTGCCACCGCCGATGACGAGATGTGCAATTTCTATATGATGTATTGGACGGAGCTGAGGCCGCTGAAGAAGGGCGTTTGCTTTACACTCGGGCCACCCTACTATTACTGGCATAAGAACGGTCGGCGACAGTTTACCAATGTGCCAACGCTGGCCTCCGCCTCCGAGATGACGGCCGGCGAGATGCGCCACTACCTCGGCCTCCCGTGACCCGATCTGACCCGACCCGACCTGAGGTTCGTGGAAGGCGTGCCAGGCTGTGCCCGGAGCTTTCGACCGCGGTGGTGAGGGATCCACAGCCGACGCTGGGCCCCACAGCGGGCCGGCGGGCAGGGCACTGATGCCGATCCGGGGACGTTTGTGTCCCGGGCTGGCTTTTTGTCACTGGAGGACGGAAACTGCTGATGCTTCGTGCTTATCTGTGTTTTGCACAATGTTCGCATGTGTTGCGCATGACTTGAGTATTTGTCGATCAGTGTCGATGTCAGAGGCTGACAGCAGCCCCACATTTGGATGTGCCCAGGTCACGCGTGATCTCCTATGTTTGCATTTTGTGACCTCACCGCTTCTGTATCACGTGGACATTAATGTGCACGCTCCAGCAACACACGCCTTGAAAACATGCACATCCCAAAAACACACCGCGTCACCAAAGGCATCGGTTCTCTTAGGTGTGTCCACCACGGCACGCGTAGAATAATGGGCTGCAGCCTGAATTCTGGCCAAGAAATCATCCCATAGCTGCCTGATTATGAAAAATTGGGTTTATTGTAGAAAGTGGCCTCTCAAGTCTCTCATATATCGCCCATCATTTGCGCGGGATAGCAAATACTATCTTGGCCCAAGTATGTTTATCAAACGCTTATTTGGTGCTGTTCTTGCATTTGCGACATTTGGCAGGCGTGGTACACTTAGCGCTGTTTTTGTTACGTATTTTGAAGCTGACGGATTAGCACAGCCCATGGAACGAACAAATGTGACCTTCATAAACCAAGAGGTGGACAGCGCGGCCAGCTAATTATCTAAGGAGACATTACACAGCGAATATAGAACTTTAAAGTGGAGTCTGTCTTTACGTCAGTTTTGCCCGCTGTCGTGCTGTGCCAAGGGCATCCAACTCAAACATTTGGAGAACGTTGACAGGGATGTCCGTCACTGTCAATGATTTTGTGGCCATAGTCACGTCCTCTTCATCAGCGGGTCTGATGGCTGGCTGCGTTGAGTTCCTCCAACGCAATATGAAGGACCGGCTGGCTGCGCCTTCTAAAAGCTGGAGTTGAAAACGGTCCTTATATAACCTACTTTTAAAGTGTGAATAGCATGCTGTGATGACCGTTTAAAAACCCACGTGCCATTAAAAAACCCATCATTGTTTAAAAACCCGTGCATCGTTTAAAAAAAACATGCCCCGTTTAATGGCGCAATTACCGTTTAACGCACCCTGTCCCCGTTACACCTTAACACCAAACCTCACCCCATGACCCCAGATGTTAAACACTACGCGGACCTTGTACTCAACCCACGAGGCGTGATGCCGCTGCGCAGATTGCACGGCTGCAAGCCGTTGTCACTATGCGGGGACCGAGCATCCATCTCATAAGGTATTCGTTACATTGACGTCGATGTTGCAGCGCTACAGCCGACGACGAAATGTGCAACTTCTACATGATGTACTGGACAGAGCAGTCGGTGCTGTCCAAGGGCTACTGCTTTAGCTGGGGCCCGCCTCTCTCCTACTGGCACCGGCTGCCGATGGGGTTCATGAAGCTCTTCTCGTTTCCGTGGCTGGGAGGGATCCCAGACAAGAAGCGCGCCTCGGAAATTGATGGCAATGAGCTACGGTCTTACATGTTCGGCCAAATGAGGAGTGAATAAGGCTCTGGATAGGGGTAAACCAAGACTCCAAAGACCTGTTGCTGGAGCTGTTCCAAGTTGCTACGATTGTTACGGTTGAATATTATGGGGTTGCTATTACCGTTTAATACGATACAAGGCTGTTTTTACATGACATTCAGCAGTTGTCTGTTATGCATCTATTGGACTATCGACAGGCAGTGCGATGGTTCGCACCGTGTTGGTTAGGGACAGTGCCACGTTCTTTGGCATGACCACCCGTCGGTTTTGTTATGTGATTACAGTAATGAAGATTATCGGCAGGGCCAGGATTATTTGGAAGCTGCACAACTACATGTATCAGAAATATGACCGGCCCAGTGTATAGGTGCACGTTTGTTTGTTTACGTGCACAACTGTTTAATTGTTGGCGCCTGTGTTTTCTGTTCGAACATTTTATTACTCAGTTTATATTTTCCGTTGCGTTATGTTGGTGTTCGTTTGTACCGCTCCAATAGCTGAGGAGAGGTTTTTGTTTTGTTTTCTCCGTGTGCCTTTCTGTTGTACTATGCTGGTGTTGATTTGCACCG